TCGCCTTGACAATGTCAGACACAGCTAGTAGGAGAGACTAAAACTCCACACAGCAACTGAAGTTTCCCTGTTCAGTTGAAGATTGCTATGGTGTAACTGAAGTTGTATTTCTCCCCCCACCTCCCTACTCCCTTTCATGTTCAGTCAGAGCAGTAGTGTAGATTTGATAGAAATTGCCATTCTCCCGTTCCTTGGACTATCTGAACCTGTAGAGGATACCACAGCAATGCTGGACTGCAGCGACTACGTTCTAGGTGGGTACCAGCTCAGCTCTTTCTTATGGACACCGAGGCTGGGAGATTGACTATGCATAGTGGCTTAATCACATATGCAGAAGGTATTTGTGGGGCTGAAGCTCACCAGTGAATCGGCAGCAAATAGCTGCCTGCTAGATGGATAGCTCGATCTGTACCAGGGAAATACATGCTTTGGTTTGTTTGTTTGTTTGTTTGTTTGTTTGTTTTCCCTCTTTTCCCTCGCTCCTCTGCACAGACTTGGGTGATTTTAATACAGACCTTTTGCTTTTAGGATTTCAGTCTGAGAAGCATTTGCCTTCTAACACTGGGCTTGACTTGCATATCTCTGTGTTATGCATTTTAAAGCATTAAAATGAATGACAGGGAGCCTGGGTGTTGAAGGAATTTAGGAACTGTATTGAGCCATTCCACAACAGCATGTATGTTATGTCTGTGTATTTTTAATATAGCAAGGTTCTTCGTGTGTAATAGAAAATAAGGGGGAGTGCACAGTGGTTGCCATTGATACCGTTGCAAGCTGTGCTTAAGGTTACTGGGATAATATATTTCCTGCGCTGAGATTCCATCAGGACTGCAGAACAGACATGCCGTAATTCCTTCTTCGTGTCTCTTTAAGTTATTTATAGTAATGGATCGTCTCAATTTTACAATAGGCTTTATTTATTTTCAAGGCTTTTCCCTGCAAAGCTCAATGTATATATATATTAATTTTTTTATTATTATTTTCATTCTATCATATAAGTTCATGTAAGAACTTATATCTCTAAGTAAAAGAATATTTTTTTGAATGGTGAATTTTAAAGCAGATGTTTGAATGTGTTTGTTTCTGAATGTGATGTGGTTTTTAAAAATTAATTTCTAAATAATTCTTGACATGCTTTCACTCACATTAAACTTCTTTTTTCCCATGCACATAAATGAATAATTTTTGCTGGTGCAAATGGAGTATCAGGCAATTCCACTTTAATGGGTGAAAGGAAACAGTTAATGGTATATACCATGTTAAGATTTTCCTTGCTTTGCCAGCTGTATGCAGTCTTTGTAACGCTTCAGGTTGGTCCGGTGTCCACTGCTTCTTTCTGCTGAATGCCTTTGGAAATGTTCCTGGGGGTGTGTGAAAGGCTGGCACAGCACTGCCTGGCGACACCTCAGCCCTGCTAGCAGAGTAGCAGCATGGAATGTATTCACTCCTGAGAGTTTGATTTCAATCATGCACCTGCTGCTTTCGATCCTTCCTTCTGGGGAGTTTGTTTTTAGATAATGTTGGCAGAACTTGTAGCCCAGGGCCTTTATTTAAAACCCAAGGAAGATCTAAAGGAAGAAAAAAAGGTGAAGGCATTAAGGCTTGGGGTTTTTTTAGCCCACTTCATTTGTTTATTCTTTTAAGTTTGAAGCAGAAATTGCACGAGCACGTATAAACCAAGCAGCCTTTTTATTCAACATAGAATGAATCGGTAGGTTGAGTATCCCGCGGATACGAGCCTGTTTTGCTGGTAGCAGTTTTGTGCTTCAGATGGATGTCATACCATTTGCAATGGAAATAGCTGCATTGTTCTTGATGCTTTACATGCAGAAGGCCCACAGATTGAACAAGAAATAGTCAGCTGGTGAAATAATGGATGCTATCCTTCGCTTGAACCTGAGCACTACCAGAAAGATGTTTCTTCTTCTAACTTGCTGCTTTTTTCAATGGCAATGTTAGAGGTCTTTGTTAAGGATGGATCTTGACAATAAATATTCTTCATTTAGACAGGCTTTTGGTAGTTAAGTAAACTTTGTATATGTCTAGTACTAAAAAAACTATTCTAGAAGAATGTATTTTGCAGCGTAGCCTGACAGAAAAACGTGTCCTGGCTTGCTTTTTGGAAAGAGGTCTGTACAGTTATAACTTTGTGTGACTGAGCCAACTTGCTCATTGTGAGGAAGGCTTCTTGTGTGAGCTTCCTCATAGGATGGAACAGTGACTGCCCTGCTTGAGTTCTGTGCACAGGACAGCTGTGTCCCCCTTCTGGGTTTAGTTTGCTTTGCTTTATTCTATCATGAGTAGCCTGCACCTTGGTTCTAATACTTCAATTCCTGTAACAAACTAGCAACAGGAGGCCCTCTGTTGTTTTTCTAGGATGAATTTTCTGAAGTGGTTCAGCAAATGAATTCCATGTTTCTGAGAGACAACTTTCTCAGCCTGTGCTCTTCCCATTCGTGGTCAGTTGTATCTTGAGTTCAAGCTATTCTTCTGCCTTGGGCTTAAAAATTACATCCTATGTCCAGTAGCCTCATGAGTTAGCCCGGTTTCCACAGCCAAATGTATTTGACTTTTAAGACTCTTTGCTCTTTTTCCTGTTGGATAAAGACTCTTCGTATTTGTGTCCAAAGCAAAGGACTGCCATTCAGTGTTCTCTAAAGTGAAATTTCAGTAGCCATTTGTGTGTAAAGGAATGAAGTAATGCTGCTTATCAAATGCATGTTGCCTATAATCACTCTAAACAAATGTGCTGTTGTCACAACAATAAACTCGATTTAAGACAGATGCAATGTCTAGATAGAAACATGGATCTCTCAGCAGAGAGGGCCAAATCAAGAGCAGACATATCTGTATAGTCAGTGGAACCCATGTTCTGTTTCTAGAGTGTGAATCATGCTATCCAAATGTGGAAAATGACAAAATAAGGAGCCTGGAAGCAATAGGTTCTATACCTGCAACCTTAGCACAACTCTTGTTTTTCAAGACTCTGAATTTGTAGCTTGAATGTGCTAAGCAGAGGTTGTGAAAAACGGGGCAAACTTGCTGAAGTGTGGGCCAACAGCACTCTGCTGCAAAGTTTCTCCTCATCCCTTCCCCCTTTCAAAAAGCAGTTTAACACATCTGCCTTTATACTAAGGGTAACACTGGTAGTCCAGATCTCTTTTACACGTGACTGAACATTTGAAAGACTTAAGAATAGGCATAGGAACTTTGTGAGGAGAGTTGAGGCTCTGGAGAGGTTATATTAGCTTGTCAGGGGAAGTTTTGTGGTTGTTACAGTCCTCTGGATTTTCAAGGCTCTATTGGGTTCGACTGCCACAGTTGTTCATGTGGAAAATTATATTAGTTTAAAAAATATTGATCACAGAATCATAGAATGATGTGGTTTGGGAGGGACCTTAAAGATTATCCAGTTTCAACCCTCCAACCCCCCTGCCATGGACAGGGATGCCTTGCTCTAGATCAGGTTGCTCAGAACCCCATCCAAACTGGCCTTAAAAACTTTCAGGATGGGGCATCCACCACATCTCTGGGCAACCTGTTCCAGTGTCTCACCACCTTCACAGTAAGAATTTATTCCTAATATCCAGTCCAATCTTGCTCTCTTGCAGTTTAAAGCCATTCTCCCCTGTCACTACATGCCCTTCTAAAAATTTCCTCTCCAGCTCTCTTGCAGGCTTCTTAAGGTACTGGGAGGCTGCTGTAAAGCCTTCATGGAGTCTTCTCCAGGCTCTACAACCCCAACTCTCTCAGCCTTTCCCCATGGCTGAGGTGCTGCAGCCTTCTGATCATCTTGGCCTCTGAACTCACTCCAACAGGTCCCTGTCTTTCCTGTGCACTGGTAGTAGCAGGTGATGGCACATGGCAATAGTCCATCTTCTCATTTCCAGCTTTCATGGACTGCCAGGCAGTCTGGAGATTCTTGGAACTGTCTGGGGGAAAGATGCAGCACAGTTAATGCTGCTCCTGTATTCTTCTTCAGCCTGTTGGTATTTTGGAAATCACTGCTTTGATGAAAGTACATGACATGAGGTAACCTTTTAAGCACCTAGCGAGAGAATATCCTGGAGTAAAGGGTTCATTTTAAGCTCATTGAACTTGCTTTTAGCTCATTATGGGAATGGAAGAGTGTGCTCAAGGATTTGCTTACACTTCATTTTATGAGCTGTTCTGTCTTGAGATTCTTTTTGTAATTTTGGTTTGTGATAATGTGGCACACTGGGGTCGGTGGCAAGGAATGAGGAGGTAATAAGCTGGAAAGCTGATGCTGTACACAGAACATCTGTATAGATTCCTATATAAGGAAGCTATATTCTCTGTCTGCCATCTGGAGAGGCCCTCTGCATTGCACTGTATTCAGCTGACAGGCTTTGAAACCAGGAACAGACTTTTCAATACATTCATCCAGAGGGAGAAAGAAGAGGAATTATTTTATATTTGTATGGTTTGCCTGAATATATAGGAAATATAAAATAACTTAATGTCACTGACATTCCAGTGAAATAGAAATGCAGTATTAGGAAAATGACATCCATTTAATTATAATGACGGAATTTCCTTTCTTTTGTTGGGGTGGGGCAGGGGGAACAAGCACAAGAATGATGTAGGCCATGATGGTCAGACTTAATGTTTTTGAATCTTGGTGTAATCATTGTTCCTTCTTCCCCCCCTCCTTTTTTTTTCCTTCTATGACTTTCATTGTATTGAAAATTAAGTCCCTACCTATCACTGCCCTCCAGCATGCTGTCTTTTATTCCCTTAATACCATGTTTTCACATATGGGAATAATGTCATAGAAAATTTTGAAATAATATTTATCTGGAAGAGTCAGTATTGTGTTTTGGTTTTGGTTGTTCTTTTTTTTTTGTGTTATAAATCTAAATTAGGGTAAAGTACATAGCAAATTTCTGCTCTTGTGTACTTCCCTTGAACAAAAAGGTATGAACAGATTTGGGGATTTTTTGCTGTATTGTTTTATCTTTCTTTCTGTTTTAACGCAGACTCAAGAATGAACAATCCGTCAGAAACCAGTAAACCATCGATGGAGAGTGGGGACGGGAACACAGGTAGGAAATGATCAATTAGTGCAGATATATTCTGGTGTAATTGAATATAATTATAATAATTGGATATTAAATGCAAAATTCTTTACCTATTTAGTAGGATTTTAAAAACCCTAAACAAAACCAAACAAATAAAAAGCTACACCCTTTGATTTTAGAGACCTGGGAATACTTTTGTCATTAACCCTAGTCCATACAGGACATTATTCATACCTACTTTATTGGAGCACCATCCACACTTTTTATATAAGATTTCCCTTCCCCTCCTTTTCTATCTGTAATGTTCCTGATCCTACTGAAGCTCTGGTGGCACTAGCTCTCCATAAATAGTCTCATTTTTTCCTGGCAGAGCATACCTTTGGCACTTCTAACTTCATAATTTATTTTTGGGTTGAAGTATTCCCTGGCAGATGTGGGCCACTGCCTGATCCTGTTTCTGTTTTAGATTTCATTCACGCTGTCACAACAGTTCTCAAGAACAAGTCAAATGGAGAAAATTTTTAAAAATTTTAGCCAGCTTTTCTGTAATTTCTTAGTGTGTTAGAACAGAACTTTGAAATTTGGTGGGGAAGAACAGATTTTGTGTCAGGGCCAATCTGCCTTTTGGCGCACTCTTAAGATGTGGCCGAATTCTAAGCCATTGAAGAAGCTTATTGAGCCACTATAACTTAATCGTGCTATCTTCATGCTTTAATTCCTTTCTGGAGGTAATATAATGCTCATTCTGAAAGCAAGAGAAATGACAGTTCTGAATGGGAAGTAAGTAGTTTAACCTAGCTTAGAATCTTTTCTCAGCTCAGAATAGCATTTGGGAAGAGAAAATTCTGATGTGAGGGAACTTTTTGCTTTGAGAGAAGTCTGGTTACCTTGTATGAGGAAAACAAATTTTCTTCTTCATGGTTTGATAATAAGAGTTTTATTTTAAACTCTGGAGTTGTGATGAAGTTAACACTATTTAATTTTCTTTTCCTGAGAGGTTGGATTTTTTCTGCCAATATATGTGTTCAGTGAAAAGGAATTCTGCCTGCTTATTAATGTGTGTTTTGTTGCTGGCATCTCAGGTTTTATAATTGCCATTGTATTTTAATGGGAGAGGTATCAATTCTTTTTATGCATGGAAGTGTTTTATTATGTATTTAAGAGTTTAAGATTATATAAAACATTATTTCAAAAACATATGGGCCGTAAATATTTCATGATCATAAACAGCATCAAGGGAACAATGGTTTTAGATATCCCTGTGGACTCCTTGTGGCTGGAGGATGTGTGTAAACTTCTGAGAAAATTCAGATTTCCTCCCCTGTGTGACCACAGTTCCCTGCATGTGCATTCCCAACACACTTCTCCCAGTGCAACTTTAGCAGTTGCACCTCAATTGAGCTGGTAAGGAGGAGGATTTGTTTTATTCAAAGGTAATCAGTCAATTATTACAGGATCATTGCATCCGCTTCAGCAGAACTCGGCTCTCTTAGGCAAATATTTCATCATTGTATAGGTGGGGGTCATGACATAAAATGGATGGATTGTAAAGCTGCATGTAGGTACTTTCATGTTAAAAAGGGATACAATGACTGTATTTTTTATAATATACAACTTTAACATTGTATATTTTTATATTTTTATATATTATATTTTATAGTGTATAACTCTAACATGATATATAACTCTGACATTAAAGTTACTTATTATATAAGTTTGACTCTGACTGGTGTTTAAAACTTCTGTAATTTTGCTTCTTTAGTTTAAATGCTTCCAGTCTTTCCTTCCAGTTTTGTATCCTGATTTTTAAATTATATGAACTAAAGTAATCTAGAATTTTTGAGGACTCTCTGTTCTGCAGTCATTGCTTTGTTTTAAAACGTAGTGCTCCTAAACCCCTGGAGATAGTGATTGATGGCATTTGTGATGTTCTTTGGGAACTCAAGCATCAGTTGTATTAGTCAACTTGGCAGATGTTAGGCTCTGAAAGGAATACTCAAAGAATGTAATTTTAGGCTTCTGATCGGGGTACTTAGATTATGGTTCTGGGCTCAGTGCATACTTGAGTGAAAAGAAGCCAGCTTTCAGCTCAGATGCAGAGGAACTGGAAGTGCCATTGATTTTCTGTCAGTGCCTGTGCTCCCCAGATAATGCCTGATGATGATTTTTATAAACACACAGAGTTCTTATTTTTGTAACTTTCTCTAACTGTCTGCTTTCCAGTGACATTTGTAAATCACTTGAGTCTGCTGTGTAAACACTAATAGTCTGTCTTTTAAGCTTCAGTGGATGCTTGTTTGGGTCATTCCTGTTTTAAACTGTAGTGAGATAATGCAACTTGAAAATATTAAGAGAAATTACTGGGGAGCATGAATTTACATGTTCATGGTGTTCTCAGGAAAAAAAACAACAGTTGCCACTGGTTAAAGATGACAACACCAGTAGTTCTCTGAGCTATGAACTAAGTTTCATGGAAGTTAAGAAACTTGGGTTTTTATTTTGAGCTCTGACTATTTAAGAAACATTGTAAAGTCTCCTAATTATATTGGTCACAATATAGTGCCTGAAATATGTTATGACTTTAAATTTTTTGTGCTAACTGGACTTCCCTTTTAAGCATCTGAAAAACCAACCCATATTTCACACCAATTAGAAACAACAACCAAAACATATGAGTACAGGAGCTGTTGGATGGATGTTTTCTTAAGAACATGTATTGACCAACTGGCCATCAGTATTGCACAGTTAGAGAAATCTTTTCCAGGCTTCAGTTGTGGACAGACAGTCTACATAGTATCTGCTGGAGAAAGGAGAAGTAAGAAAAACATCTTACCTTACAATAAATGGACAGCCCTTTTGATCTCCTTTTTATAGGCAGCGTAAAATTTTCCAAAACATCTCAACCTTTTTGTTTGTTGAATGCATCTTCTCTTGTAAGAGCTGTGTGAATGCAGAACTGTAAAAGCCAAGGTTATAATGACTATGGAAACTGTACTATTATGACATTTGTTGACACAACAGCAAAATAATAATTATTGTAAGTGTAGTATTTGGAGGGATTCTAAGGATACTTGTTTGCATTGCTTCATTTCCAAAGATTGATTTTCCGGTTTCCATAAGAAGGAAGTCTATAGGAGAGAGACCATGAACTATTCGTCAACTGCTAAAATCAGGCGATTATCAATGCTGAACATGGTATTAGGAAATGTGGATAGGGAAACAATTTCTGAGTGTTGAGGGTATCTCTCTGTCTTTCAGCAGAGGTGGGGAGAGAGAGGTGACCTGGGAAAATATGGTGGTGGTGCTGGGAGATGTCTCCCAGAGCACAGTGTAGATACCCACTCCAGCTGGTTTTGAAGTCATCCTTCTCCTTGCCTGCCTTCCCTTCCTGAGTTCTTTCTTGCATCTTACTCCACATCTCCACTGATCTGGAGCTCCTCACTCCTCTTCCTTTCTAATGCAGTTTACAAACTCAGGTTGAAGTCTGATGATTATAATCTGGAATTTTGAGAGTAAGTTGTTCTCCTGACTGCAGGTGCAATGTTACCTTGCTTGCTCTGCTATGTCATGCCTTTACCCTCTGCAGGTACAATTCCAAAATGCCATAAAATAATCCATGTTCAGTATCTACTGTTCTGTTCCATTCCCTGGAGTATCACTGTTATTAGTCTTCATCCAAACCAACTCTGTGAAGTAGCTGAGCACATGGCTGAATTTAAACATGCTGTTGGACCTTGAATGTAAGGGTGAAATTCCATCCCTTAGCGGGCTGGGGGTGGAGCATCCAGACCAAAACAAACTCTACTGGTGAACTACCAGAAGGGGCAGGACAGGGAGCTGTCCAAGATGGAGCTGGAACCAAGAAGAAAGGAGAGACGGGACATGGAGAGTTCCCACTCTTTTTGGGCTGTTTTTGGTGTTGGTGAGTTCTAGCAGTTATGGAAGTTGGGATGAAGATGGAAAATGCATTAATACCCGGGACTGTTAAAATCATGATACATGTGATTGTATCTGCCATGTCTCTTAATCATCACAGGGTTTGTATTTAACTCTTACTTTGAGCAAAAGTGGCATTCTAGTCCTTTTGTGTTCTTACAGTGTGCTGACCTGCTTCTGACAGCACCATTTTCCAGATCCTGATCAGATTTCTTAGATTCCATGGGAGTGGTGCCACATCCTACTGAGCACCTTAAAAGCAAGGTCTCTCATATGCTGGACTCAATTCATTTTCCTTGCTCTTTTGCAAAAGACATGGGCATCCTGCTATAAATGCAAGCAGCCAGGGTAGCATTCCTTCCAAAATTAAGGCTGTATCCAGAGGGGAAGAGACATTGTGCCTCCAAATGCCAAAGAGAGTTTAAGATGCAAGTAGTAGAACAGAGAGTGAACAGGAGTGATGTGGATTTTTTCGCCCTGAGTTTGGTTTTGGGAGGCCTGGGGAGAGGGAGCTGATGTCTTTCAAGACTGAATTTAAAGAAAATGTTGTTTACTCTCAGTGCCTAAGTTGTTTGTTGGGAGCCATGAGGATTTTTAGCAAAGTTTTGGAGCTTGCTTTGTTCTAAACTATCACCTAGGAGGCTTTTTTCAGATTTCCATTTTAAGAGTCAGCAGAACTGCTAACTGGAACATTTCTTCTGCACACTTACACAGCAGTACTCTTTTAACATGGTATCATGATTTTTGAGGCACTTTTTGGAAGATAGTTAAGTGAAACAGCTTCACCTATTTACCTAAGGTGAGGCCTGCAGCTGGTTCTCTCAGAAACAGATAATTTTTTAACCCCCACAAGTTTCCTATTGGAATGAGGAGTATTTGCCCTCCAGTAGGTTTTCTTATCTGTATTTTTTTCACTCCCTGACCATTGAAAAGTAATTCAAAACCTTTGATTAAATGAGGAGGTGGTAGGTTGTTTCCTGTGACTTATGGTAGCAATTTGTCAGGAATTACTTTTATATATTTAGCCAACTACTTTTTCATTCCCTTTGTACTTCTGCATGGAGAGAATTCTGAAGTCTACTGGAAGGAATGAAGATAGATGGGATTCTTCTGGTTCTTTCCAGCAGACCTTCTTATATACCATTCTTTGGAGAAAGGCAACCAAGTTGCATTCCTTCAGGAGCAATTCAGACCAGTGAGAGTCCCTATATTCACTTTGAATTGGGATTTTAGACTAATTAAGCTAAATAATTTGATGCATTTTGAAATTGGAATATTTTTAACACATCTCTGGATCTTTGGCTGCGTGTATGTCTCTTAAGTTTGTAAACCTTGGCCCAAAGCATTGAATTGAAAACTTGGGAGTCAACCAAATCTTCCCACCACAGAACCCCCACCAAAGATGCATCAAAGGGCCACCTTAAGTATACTTTACATGAATGGTAGAAAGTTTGATACAGGGTCAGTGTTTAATTGAACAATGGCCCAGTCTTTGGAATTATGACCTGTGTAAGCTGTTTGCAGGTCAAAGTAGCAGTGTGAGGTATTGGACAGTCTATTTTACTAATCACAGTTTATGCCTGCTTGCTTTTGCAGGTGTTTCCAAGGAATAGGAAGCACCTGTTGTTGTCCAACAACTGTGACTCTTGCTCAGTAGATAATGTAGGTTTTTATGGCAAAGAATGTAGATGATGGAAGGAATTTTGAAGTAGGAGCACACCTGCCTGTGGGCACTGAACAAAATCTGATTGTCATGATGAATAAACATGCAAGTCTAAAGCTGGTTTAGCTTCATTTCAGTCACGCAATTTCAAAGATTGCATCATCTGTTCTAGAAATTCCCTTCGGCCTAACACACTTGGAGTTGCCCTTCCTGTGAGTAGTAACCAAAAAAAAACCAAAAACCAACACAAAACCAAAAAAAAAAAAAAAAAAAAAACAACAAAACCCAAAAAAACACCACTTGTTTTCATTTTTTTCTTCTCATACCCAAATTATTTTGTGATGACTGGGAGATTTTCACATCTTCCGAGCAGTTTAGGAAAAGATTGCAAAAATTTAGGAGAATAACCAGGTTTTACTTACGTGAGAGTAAGTGAAGAAGTAGAAGCAAGCCAAGGCAGTTATCTAATGAGAGCTCTGAACAAACTTTAACAGAAATGTAGAGTCATTTATGGAAAGAGTAAAGCTGTGGCCCATAACTGCTGTATACAGATGGGACTTCTGTTTTCATCAAGTGTTATTTTACCTGTCTTTTAGGAAAGGTGGCTTTTATATGAACCTTGCTGTTGGGACTTTCTGAACTTGAAGTTAGTCTTCAGCTATTGGATTGAGGGTGCATGGAGAGTGGAAACACAGTTTAATCATAGCAGCAAGCACCCATTTGATTCTCAAACTGTGTAGAGAGTGATGGGATAGTAGTGTACATAGAAACACAGGTCACAGAATTGTTTAGGTTGGAGAAGACTTTTAAGATCATCAAGCCCAACTGTTAATGCTGCCAAGTCCCCCTTTAAACCATGTCCCTAAGTGACACATCTGCACATCTTTTAAATATCTTCAGGGTACACAAATAGATGATGGAAGTTAAAGAAAATATGAAGTTGGTTTTGTTCAGCTGACAAATGCTGTATTACTGAAGCCTCGGCTCTGCTTCCCACCCCACTTTCACTAAAAAAAGCAATTCTTGTTACTCTCAGTGTGTTTTTTTACAATATAATGTTGAGAGAATAGCAGGAAAGTTGGAGTGTTAATTCTTATTCCACTTACTAAAAGTAGTAATTAAGAGTTTTCAATGTCTCTCTTTCTCCAGGCACGCAAACAAACGGCCTGGACTTTCAAAAGCAGCCTGTGCCTGTCGGAGGAGCAATCTCTACAGCCCAGGCCCAGGCCTTCCTTGGGCACCTTCATCAGGTAAGAGAAGAGACATTTGAACAGAGGAGACTCAGCTGCCCTGGTGTGTTCCATGTTCTCTCTTTCTGTGAACGATGGCGAGTCATTTATTGGAACATAAATCTGGGTACACTACCTGGTTAATGAGTGTGGATGGCAAAAAGTCCTGATTGTGGCATTCCCTTCATTGCATTAGGCTGCAGAACATGTCAAGATAGGGTGAGACCTCTTTGGGAGAACTACAAATCACATTTTTGGGGACTTGAGAATGCCTAAATGTTGTGGTATGGTTTTGAGTAGGTTTTTTGTTTGTTTGCTTTGTTGTTGTTGTTTTAACCTTAATAGAGATACCATGTTGAAAGGCAAGAAAAAATTTAAATTTTTTAGGAAAAGATTGTATTGGCCCAATGGCTCCCAAGGTTCCAAAACTGTCACTTGTCTAGTTAAAAACACTCTTACACATTAACTAGAAAGAAAATTGATTGTACTTACTAAGCATATATGGCTTGTGAGGTTTTATTTTTTTATAAAAAAGTTATTTCAGTGACCTGTTTGTCAGGTGATATTCAGACTTCTAATACTATCCCTCTGTTCTGCTGCTGCTGTGTTTAGGGAATCAAAGCTGAACTTCAGATGCAGGCTGAAGCAAAATGGGGCATCCCTAGGTGAAGAGAAGTATAAGGGGCATTTTTTTGTAGTTTTTTTATCTGTTCGCACTTGATGTATGAAAACAAATGTCCTAATTTCTTTCCCTTCCTCTGCACCAAGTTAAACTTTAAAATACTGTACCTAATTGGATGACCTTGAATGTTTGAGGTCTGAGGTTGCACAGTTATTGTGGTATAATTGAAGTACTGAAGCTTTTATGCCCTCTTTTAAGAGCTCTGAACTGCCGTTTTATTGTATGGAACATTCCACACGTCTTGTCACATAATTGCAATTTTCCTAGCAGATTGGTTTATATAGGACTAAGGGAGTGCCACTGTTTGAATTTGCTGAACCAATAGGCTGTTGTAGACTGCCTTTATGTGGAGAGAAGCTGACTAGGTTTTATGGCTTGCCAGTGTGTGTTTAACATGAGACAGATACAGCTGTTCTGCAGAATTCTGTGTGTTTGTTTTAGTCCTCATTTTGTTCCATAGATTGACCCAGGACAGTAATTGGGTTTTGCACAGTGCTTTATCCTTCTTTGGAAATTTATTTATTTAAACAGTTGTCAAGATCTTTATAACTTCATGTTTGATAAAGTGTGATTCATTTCTTGAAACTGGTTCAAAGGAAAATCTCAGGTATTCTTTTATTCACCTGCAGGTGTGTGGGAATCTATTGTCAAACTGTCCTCTGCTAGTGAGGCTGCTGTTAGTGGGGTGTTATTCAACCTTAACACGCAGTGCTTTGCTCTAGACTAATGCAAAATACTGGGCTGTAGGCAGCATTCAGCATTTCTAATTTGGAAATGTTGGCTGTGTGGTGAAAGGCATGCCTAAATGGCATTCACAGAGATTTTCAGGAATGTGCTGGCTTTACCTGAGCATCATTATGTATTTGTAGTCTTTTATGTGTGTTTGTGCAATTTTAAAGTATTATTTTGAGTATATCGTTTGGATGTCGGGGTGGTGTTATTTAGGCTATTCTCTGCTGTTAATCCGTGGTAAAAGCACAGATTCCATCGACTGTGTCAAACTGTATTTTGCTCTGATGAGGAGGGGCTTTTCTGGGAGTGTTTGCTTTGATGTAGATCATGCTTAGTATGTCTAGTACCTTCATCTAAAGCAGTAGGAAATATTTCCAAGGTGACTCTTCCAAGGTTGCCTGTTCAAAATATTCAGTTATTAATTTCATGTACTGCAGTTTTTCCTGTGCCTGAAAATATGTGGACTTTTCTATGTGGGGACCATATAGAGGGTCCTCCATGTAGAGGCAAGAGTGCTACGTTTTGCTTTGCTTTATTGTATCCTTACGTGTCATCTGATTTTCAAATGAGCAGTGGTTTTCAAACATGTCCAGAGATGAAATTCTCTACAGGCTGTTACTCTGACCTTTGAAATAGTTGGTAATTAATTACAGAGCATTCCTTCTTTATAACTAGGGGTGCTGGTAGAAACAAGGAGAGACTGATTCAAATAGGTTTCAGGAAATGTAAAGAGAGCATTTTTTCTACAGAGGGAACTCCCCATTAGAGATACAAAAGCACCCCAAAAATCTCACTTTCTGAATCATCCATTGTTCCTTGCTGCTCACCCACAAGACCACCTTTGGGCCTGTTAATTACAAACATCGAATTCAGGTTTTAAGTATAGCTGAATCAATACAGCCTTTGTAAAGTGTCTTCGGTGCTCTGTGTTGAAATCTTCTTTTCAGTGGCTGAGGGCTGCAAATACTTGAATGGGTTAATTTAAGAGAGTGGTTGTGCTCTGGGTTCTGTACTGTGTATGTGCTTGCTCATATCAGAAAGCTGGTGAGTGCAGTGTTGGGGTAAGACCCATTCTGAAATGGGAGTAGGATGACTATGAGTAGAGCTTAATTCCCTCCCCTGGAACCTGGATTTTTCCAGCAGGAATTGGACTAGTTGGCCTGTCCACCCCAATATGCTCTGTTTCAACTCCATCCATGGTGATATCCACATCCTTAGGCAGAGGTGTCTTCAGTAGGAGGTAGATAAACAACATCGTGAAAGGTCTTGCACATCTGTTTCAGCCTGGGGTACAACCCCTGTTCCACCGATTCAGGTGTTAGAGGAGCATGCTCTGTTCTTGGGGGAGTTTTTTTGGAATGTGGGTCGGGAGATTGTTCTTTTTACATTTTTAGTTTTCTGTGGATTCTACATTATTTCATTTCCATTTTTGCACTGTTGTAGGTCCAGCTCGCTGGAACAAGTTTACAGGCTGCTGCTCAGTCCTTAAATGTACAGGTAAAGACAGTTACCTTCTGCTGCTCATCCTTCTCTCATCCCAAACAGCATCAGTAGAGATAGTTCTTAACCTATGATACCTTACTTAGTTGTTTCAGTCTGACTGGTTTTGCAAGTGATAGGTTTGAAGGAATAACACTTTTACAACTGTAAAGAAGGTTCAGGATTTGTAAGCATTAAGGCTCTGGAGTTGTTTAAAACATGGAGTGACCATAACTTAATGCTGAATTTTAGTCAGGTGTGGTATCATGCAAACCTTAAAACTCCAGGAATATTTAATGTTCTTCTGTTTATTAACTTGCTTTAAACACGTAGTGAGTATTACTTTGCAATTTGTCCTTACTTCTGGTAACTGAATATAGGCATATAATGTAGCATTAACTATATAATGTGGCTAGTTCAGACTGCTTGTGTAAATAACACACAGTGATTTCAAAGTCAGAGTAATTGTTGTTTAATAATGTACGTGAGACAGCAAAGCTTTCAAACTTTCCTATGATGCTGAACACTTCAGTTTATCTGTTAGCATTCTGCTTCCTCTCTGTACTATATTAAGGGGCAAGGGATGCAGTTTTATTGAAAACTGGTTTCAGTATTGCATGTTATTAAAGAATGTAGGTAGTGCATTACATGAAATGCAATAGAATGTGGACCCACTTATACATAATAACAATTTGGAAAGAAGAGGAGGTATAGTGACCTTCCTTTCTGAGAGGAAGGAGGCAGAAAATTGCCTTGGTTGCCATGGTAAACTTCCATCCCTGAGAGAGATGTTGGCAAACAGGCTGTATCTCCAGTGCAGAATGTTTACAGTCCTGTGCTGTAATTATCGCTCAATGACTGGCAGAATTAATCAGAGCCTTTATGTTAATTAGCCTGCTCTGCAGTCCCCAAAACAGGTGGTGGAAAATATGCAAATCTATGCAGAATTGTAATGTTCTGCATAACCAGTTTTAATTATCATAAAACTCTCTCCCCCTCTTCATGCACTTGCATTTCCTCCCTCATGTCTTCACAATTTCTTCTTTTTAAAAAAATAAACAACCAAACCACAAGAATAAATCAAAATAAACTTGAATCTTCTAGAATAAAGCAGTATTCAATTAAATAAATGCATTGAGTATTTAAAAGCACTGTATATATTATATATCTTGCTGTAGGTATGGAAACCTGTGAGGATTTTTCAAAAAGGTTCTGTATAAGCCAACAGTTTGATGACTTAGAGGTACAGGATGGAGATAGAGAAAATGGAAACACAATCTCCTTTCCCTCGTTCCATTGTTCAGGATTTTACACAATGAATAATTTTAACAACCTTCTCTTTCTTCATGGTGAAAGGTAGCGTCAGCTTCAGTTGCATGGTGTAAAATGAAGTGAGACCTGAAAATAATGTCAGAGAGTTACAGGAGACCAGAGAGTCTCTTTGTTTTGTTTAAGCTGCATTACCTACAGACGTGTTTCAGCAATCATAGCTGAGATGGTGGGCACACAGAGCCATTGCTTAAACACACTCTTAAAATAAACCCAAGGGCTTTTCGTATGCAGATGAAAGATTTTTATTGTGCAGTGTTGAGATAGCAGCGTCATACATTAACATCTGTTTTACACTATAAAGAGTTGTATTTTTTTTTGACTAGTCTAAATCTAATGAAGAATCTGGGGACTCTCAGCAGCCAAGCCAGCCTTCCCAGCAGCCTTCAGTGCAGGCGGCCATACCCCAGACCCAGCTCATGCTGGCCGGAGGACAGATCACCGGGGTAAGAGTTACCCAGGGATGCTGCAGTCCCACACAGGTATCATTGAAAGACACAACAACTTCCTTAATGTAGGAGAAATGTCAATGGGAGGGGCAACAGAAAATATTTTGCTAGAAAAATAAGCAGGCTGTAATATTTGGGGTTTGTCGCTAAGTATTTGCTTCTGAACATCAGCAACAAAGAATTCTTTCTCTCTGTTCTTAGTGTCCCTTTTGACCCTGCAATGAAATTAAAACCTGTTGTTTTACAACAGTTTGTCATAAAGAGAAATTTTTTTTCAAGATTAAAATGAGGCATGGGAGAACAAGACTGAATCTTATAGCTGTGTGAAGAACAAAAATTATGGGAATTGTTAATTTTTCCTCTTCTCAAACACATTTCTTTTTAAGTAACTCTATTAGTACTTTCCTTAAGCCTGTTGAACTCTTTTGTTTTAACCTACTGATTTTGAGGGGTTTTTAATTGCAATGCTTTGGGAGTATATATGGGATCATTGTTGTTTTAGACTTTCTGGTGTTTCTGAATTGTTGTAAAGGCTTTCAGTCATTTCAAAAAAGAGCAAGTTTTGTGAATGGGCTGGTTAAAGAATTTGCTTCCACTAATCAGCTTTGCAGTATGAGAGTTTGTGTGTTAATAAGCTTAGGGTATTTGCTCCAACAATATATTTATGATTTGAAGTGTTAGGTTAGATCATCCCTACACTTGCATGAAATGACTTCTTAATCTCAGGCTCAATTGCTAGATCTTCTCCTGTGTTACTATGTAAATAAACATCCTATTTAGTTTTCAGTTAAGCACTGAAAGTTTTAAAAGTGAGACTGTTTCAATGTGTTCTTAAAACCTGGCAAATTTTATTTTTTGCATTCTCAGAAAATACTGGTTTGTTTTAATTCATTATTGTCTGCTGTAGTGAAACATTCAAAACTCCAGGCCTATGCAGATATGGGTTGCAGTAAATGTGGGCATCAAGATTCATTTACATGTAAAGGAGAGACTGCTGCCACCTGTTCCACAGAGATAATGCGTGCTTGGGAAAGGGAAGGGATGTAAAGTTGCCAACTCTATTCTATTTAAAAAAAAAAAAAAAGGCAGATGGGGAGACTTGGAGAGAAACAAATGGAGCTCATGTTCTTTACTTATATCTTAGGGCATAATGGAAATGATGGAATATGGCAGGGATTCATGCTAATGTGAAGCAGCTGGGGCGTTATCAGTTTGTTCAGTAGCCATAGCCAGCATTCCTGCTTCACATTCATCTGGCTAATCACTTGCTGTTCTGCTGGGTGTAAATTTCCTTTCAAATCCTGGCAATACTGATTCTTTTCTTTTGCTTGCTACTTAATTGCTTTTTCCCTGAAACTCCTGGTAGAGTTGTGAGGAAGACTTAGGAGCAGAGTTAGGTTCTGTAGGTTCCAATAGGTGCAAATGTTGGTGGTGGTGCAGTTTGGTTTGTGTCAGGCCTGTGGTAGGTTGGTTCCCATGCTGCATCGAGTAGCCAGCTGTCCTTCCTTAAGGCCAGAGCCCTTGGCCAGTTAATGGAATAGCCCTAGGACTGCCTGGTTAACATAACTAGTACTGAGCTATATAATGACTTTGTAGCTGAAGTGGCTCTTCCCATTATTAATGGCTGTGTTTTCTAATTGTTTATAGCTCACGTTGACGCCAGCCCAGCAACAGTTATTGCTCCAACAGGCGCAGGCCCAGTTGCTGGCGGCTGCAGTGCAGCACTCAGCCAGTCAGCAGCACAGCGCTGCTGGTGCCACCATCTCGGCCTCTGCTGCGACGCCGATGACGCAGATCCCTCTATCTCAGCCAATACAGATTGCACAGGTGAGCCTTGAGGCTTGAGAGGGTGGAAAACAAAAGAGGTTTTGACTGATTGCGCCATTCGAATAAAATTTGTTGTTCCTCGCTCAGTGAGTTGCTAGAGTCCTCGAGTATTGTTAGTCTGTCCTCGCGCATCGTTGGATGATGAGGTTGAAGTTTGATAGTCTTAGCGAGGAATGTGTACCAGCTGCTCCTCAGTTCCACTGGGCTTCTGAGTTTGTACCAGAATCTGAGTAGACGCTGTGTTTTCTGAATTTTCCTCCTTGTAGTTAGTGTGAGAAAGGAGAAAAAAGGGTATAGAAAGATGCCCACAGAAGTTGCACTTGTTGAGACCTGCATGGATGGGAAGTGATGCCTGTGTATCAAAAAGGATGCTTGTCAGACCCAGATGGTGCTGGTTAGAAGCAAAATGATAGAGCTGAAGAATGGCAGTTTGACTTGACGTGTTTGTGTGCTATTTTGGCTTGGTTTTTAATGCTGAAGGTTCCATGACAAAGAATGGGCACTCCTGTGTGCCTGGAGAGAAACTTGGAGAATGAGTCGGTGTTGGAATCTGTCCAGTCTCATGGTCTGGTACTAAAGACTTGTCAGTTCTGAAGAACTGCTCGCTGTGGGTGTTCTGCTTACTAGAAGCAGTAAGGAACCTCCTGGGTCTTCCAGGACTGACTTGATTCAGTGTGGAGATTGCAGTGGCACTAACTCCATGCTTAGTGTATGTAGTGTGGAAAATCCTTAGACCTGTGGACAAATAATCATATGTGCAGCTTAGACATCTTGAGTACTATGAGTAGGTGATTGTCTTGCTCATGCTGAGGTCCATCTTCCCATAGATTAAAGCTCTTTGTACATAATAACAGTTTTCTTAGTCTAGCTGTGCAAAGCGTGTGTGGTATATAATCTTGAAAGTTGCTGCTTCATAGACTGACCACATTCTTTAAAACTGATGCTTTCTGTTCAGGCTAGTTTCTCTTGCATTCAACCGGGATGAAGTGTCCAAGAAGTGAACATAAGGTCTGATTAAGGACAAGAATGGAAATGTTGCAATTGTCTGTGAAGTCCAGTGGTGAAATGTTCAGTGCTTTACTGTGCTGGTCCACTAGCTGAGTAACAACAGCCTGGCCATGCTATTAGGTTTTCATTAGCTGAAGTGACAAACTTTTGTGGTGCTGGTCTAGAAGTTCTGACCTCTCTGGCTGTCCTTAGAGAGGCCAGAGTGGTGCCATCCTGTTTTTTAAAGGCGAGTGCTGATGTTGTGTTAATGACATTCCTCCCACTGAAGCTCTTGTTACACTGTGAGAAGTCACATCACCAAATAACACCTTTTTTAGCAAAGGATTCCACTTCAGTGGCATGATGTAGAGATGACTGAAGGATGTAGCATTCAAAGAAACTTGTAGTTCTCAAGATCATATCTCAATTTTGTTTAAACTGTCTGTAGGCAATAATACAGACAGATTTCAAGAAGAGAATGGGCAATGTCCTAGTCGAGGAAGTTGTTGGTTATAGCTTCTGACATCTTTCCATGCACCTGTCACGGAGTTCCCATTTGATGGGATGTGAGTCTTTTAACATATATGTAAGCAATCCACAGGTGTGCCTCTCCTTTTCCAGGTGTGCAGCTTGAGATAGCAAAGTCTGCTTCACTGAACTGTGGTGGCCTAAAATTTCCTATTAACAAAATCTGTACCTTGAACTGTCTGGCCTTAGGTTTGTCAAACAGGCCACCAAAGCAGTGGATAGCAGTGGTGATGCATTTGAGATGTTTCTAATCCTGCTCTCCCACCTCAGTGCAAAGCTCTGATAATGTGTGAAGCATTTACAATTATTAGTTTTGTACTGGCTTAGAAAATTTAGAAAATCTTCAGAGAAGTGTTTGAGAGGAGTTGAAAATATCAGGCATGTGCTGTCAAATAAGAGTTTCTGAAGGCAGCATTGTCTGACTTGTGCATAGAGGCTCTGTGAAAAATTGCATGTAATCTCGTAGTTGCCACATGAAGAACAAATTAAAGTTGTACTTGTTTTCTGACGTTTCTAATTACTTAAATGTTTGACTTTACAATTAATGTCTTTTAGGATAGGTTATTTTGATACATAAATGAGCTTGGTTGAATCTTGTTAACTGCTCCTTATGATGAAAGTGCAGGGCATAAATTGTGCAGGTGTTGGATATAATTTGAGGTACTTATGGAAAGCATCTACCATCTAGGTTCATAGGTAGATAGCACCATGCTTTTTGATCCATCTTGGCAAGGATTTGTAAGCAGTGCTCAGCTTTGTTTGTGTTGCTATTGTAAATATATAGCTGATTATACAAATAGCTGAGTGTTTGTTTTAATTGATGGTTTTTGAATAATTGATTAACTGGCAGGTCTCTGCAGCAGGGGGATTACCATATTTATTTTAATTAACTAATTGCAAAAGCATGACTTCTTTAATGTGCACTGCAGTTCATGTAAGGTATCTGCTGCAGCAGCCTGGTGAGGAGCTCGTGCTGCTCTGGAATGACACTAAACAGTTGTGTGTCAACTTTTGGGGTTTTTTATAAACTTCCTGGTTTTCAGGATCTATGCTCTGTATTTATATGATGTAAATCTCAAAATGAGTCAGATGCTTAAGTTTGTGCTGAAGCTGTAATTGGAAATAATGGCATTGAATTTAGAAATTTAGATGATTTTTTTTTAAACGAAAAATCTTCCTCACAGCAAGACATTGCACTTGACAGATTATTCGGCTGAGGTAGGATTTGGATTGTTTTGATCTTTCTAAATTGCTAGGCAGCACCAGAAGACATGCATGTCTCCCTGAAAGTCTTTCCATCTCTTTCCATGTGCTTGTGCTAGCATACAGATTTTAACACTGAGGAAAAAAGATCAGTATAGGAAAGCAGTGTCAGGTTTGTTTGTGTGTTCGCTATTGGGAGATTTATTGTAATGGCATAATTAACTAAATAAAAAAACTTTCCCAAGGTGGAAATAAAGTTGGATTTCAAATGCATTTGAGGGGCTGGTAGGGCTATTTAGAAGTGATTAGCCTTGGAGGTATAATTTTCATTTTGCGTTGCAGAATTATATTTCTGTATTTAAACAAGACTTAGCCAACATACCATTTACCAAGGCAGATGCACAGAATAAGATTGCTTATATCAGTTCTCCCTGAGGCCTCAATTTAAAAACAGTTTTCTCATATTAAAGTGTAAGAGCCTGATGATAAGAGCTGTCATGTCTTGGCTGGGTAGCCAGTGTTATGAATACTGTAGTCTTAAACAAAAAGCTCTCCTCCTTTGATCTTACAGATACACTGCCACTGTTTCTTTGTATTCTTTCTTGCGTGTAACTCCATCTCCTGTGGGGTGCTTCAAATCATCTGAGATCTCCTTGGTCATCTGGGGTGATTTAATTTGTTTGCTTTTGATTGGGAGAGGTCCTTAACCTATCTGTTTTTCCATTGATACTTTTTTCTTCCACAGAGTCTTCCCAACTCTTCCTTTTGTGTTTATGGGGTTTTTTTTCCTCTTATCTACCTGTATTTTCACCCTGCAGCCTCTCTTTATTTCCTTTTCTTCTGCCCAGTGTTCACAACCTGAGTCAGCTTGCCCAGCTCTTTCCATTTCTGTTTTCAACTCTGCATCCAGTCCTCACATCCATTCCAGTATGAGCCCCCTCTGAGCTGGAGGGTCAGCACAATCTGCGGAGGCAAGCAGCTGAGCAATGAAAATCAGTGAATAAAAGAGTGGAGGTCCGTGTTGTGTTGAGCTCAAGACAAAAGAGGTTTTGGTAGCAGTTCTGACCAATGTGATGTTGGGATATGAAGTCATAAGAAACACGGAGTTGCAGGATAGAGCTGGAGTAGTTATTGCTCTCTTTCAAGAAGGAAATTTGCCTTGATTTCATAGGAATAGTTGCATTATTTCTGCAATTTTCTAAAAGCAAACAGTACTATTGACTTTAAAACCACTTTTTTGCTCATGGGCACTTTTTCAAATTTTACCATTGTCTTATAAAATGGAAGTTTCCATTTCTTGAAGAGCATTGCTTGATCAATCCATCTGGTGTCTGTCTACCATATTATTACACTGCATGCTTTTGACTTAACAGGGCTAAGTAGCCCAAGTGATTGATGACCAGTGTCTGTGTAATGCAGGTTAAGTAGTCGTTGTCTTATAAAGCCTGTCTATAGTCTCATAAATCAGTGGACTCCCTGTTTTTTCCCCTCCCTAATCTTCCTTTCTGACATTCCCTACCCCTCATCTCCAGGAGGGGATCGTTTCAAGTTACAGTTTTAACAGCTTTAAAAAAAATATATTGTCACAGATAACAGCATTGTGTAAGAAAGAAGTTCTTGTCAGTCTGTCTTGACTTCCCATCTCCAAATCCACTGCTGGCAGTGAATGGCCTTTCCCATCCTCTGGCTGAGCAGGTTCTGGGAGTGCTCAGTAACCTGCATCAGCCCAAGGAGCAGCTTAGGGAGCAGCTCTTTGTTCCTCTGGTTCGCCTGAACTCAGGTGTGTTTGGGGCTATGGAAAGATGAGCAGCTCCGAGCAGCCGCACGGGCACTGCTGCAGCTGAACACGGTTTCTCTGCAAACAAGGACCCGAAGGACTTCCCTGAAACAGAGCTTTCGGGGAGTCTTCTTGTCTTCTTGCTTTGGTTTGTGTAATGGGAGGTTGCAAGTGTGGGAAGTATTTCATTCAGGCTTTTTTTCCACCTCTTTGGTGAGTATTTTGAAATAGATTCTTCCTGGAAGGATGGAAAAATCCAATAAGTGTGTTTAGATAGTTTTCATGGATTACCACTGTTATGTTCGTTGACTTCACAGTGTGTTTTTTAAATTTCAGTTGCTCTTGTTATTGTGTTGTTTGGAGATGAAAAGAAAAGGTTATTTAGGGGGAACGATTTTTAAGCAGTTCTCTATGTTTTCTCCAGCTAAATGCCAAGTTGAAGCATTTTTCTTGAAAACTCAGTTTCTCGGAGATTAACATTTTACATTGAGACCTGTCATTTAATTATAGAAAATTAATAGTCCTGAATGGTTGAAATACATAAAAGTAGGGTTCTTTAATAATGCAGTGTTTTGGATTATTCCTTTTAACCTTTCATTATAGTCATATCTATTAAGCTTATTGTAATTTGTTTCAGAACAAATGAAATATATTTACTAATTGAGTTAGCTACTTTCTGAAATTTGAACCGAGCAACCAGAGTGCAAACAAGGAATCTAATATTTTGCTCTCCTGTTGTTGATTCAAATGATAATTGCAGACTGTTGTTACAAAAAAAAAAAAAAAAAAAAAAAAAAAAAAAAAAAAAAATTTTTTTTTAAAAATTTTTTTTTAAGAACAGCTAATATGCTTGATTTGTAGCAGAGTTCCATCCTCAAAAAATAACTTTGAGAGATCTTTGTGCTGATAAGTTTAATGTATTTGAAAACTCCTGAATTTGTGAGGGAAGGGAGATTGATTTGTTTGGTTGGTTTTTTTGTTTTTAAAGCAGAGCAGTTCTGGATATACTTTGCGGGTTATTTAGTAAATAATTTTGGTTTTATGAATGAAACTGAAATTCAAATTGCCATTTCGAAGGATATTCAGTAGCAGGAGTTCCGCTGTGTTTGACATCTACTTATTCTCTAAATGTTAGAGTGTAGCTGGCTGATAGGAAATCTTATATTGGGAATTATTGCTGAATTACATGTCTAACACACAGCTCTTTCTTTTCTTTTTTCTTTTTCCTTTTTCTTTTTACTTTTTTTTCTTTTTTTTTTTTTTTTTTTTTTTTTTTTTTTGGGTTTTTTTGTCTTCTTTTTTTTTTTTTCCCCCTTCCCATTTCCTTAAGGATTTGCAGCACTTGCAGCAGCTTCAGCAGCAGAATCTCAACCTGCAACAGTTTGTGTTGGTGCATCCAACAACCAACTTGCAGCCAGCACAGTTCATCATCTCACAAACGCCGCAGGGGCAGCAGGGTAAGTGCTCCTTGCCACAAAACCAAACCATACATGACAATTTTAGGGGAGAAAGTGAAACTCAGGTTGTTCATACCAATGCCCAGATTTCTCCCAGGCAGTGGCTCCCAGCTAGCTTTTTCCCCCCTAGGTTTATATCCTGAGTATGAGACAGGGTGGTGTGGAATATCCCTTTGGCCAGTTTGGGTCAGCTGTCATGGCTTTTTCCCCCCCAGCTTCTTGTCTTTCCCAGCCTGCTTGCTGGTGGGATGTGTGAGAAGCTGAAAATTCCTCCTTGACTCTAAATACTGCTTGACAATAACTAGAACATCAGTGTGTTATCAACATTGTTCTCATCCAAAATCCTCATCGCAGCACTGTACCAGTGATTAAGAAGAAAATTAACTCCATCTCAGTCAAAGGCAGGACAGACTGGAAAAAGATTACAAAATCAAAAGCCCTTGTGGGAGTCTGGAAAAGTACTTAAGCCTAAAGAGGGTACAACGAATTTTGTCATAAACTGAACTAATAATTAACACCTTGGGAAAAGAGCTAGAATGGTGGATTTGTGTAACAGCTCTTATAATAATATTTTGGCGATGCACTGGGTGTGACTTACATGCCAAAGATAGGCAAGGCAGTGATAGGTGGTGCTGTGTCAGAGCAGTTAAGTTGTGCACAGTAGCTTTGTTCTGAGGACTGATGTGTTCAGGCTGCAATGCATCACCGTGCTGATTGCACCCCATTTGTTGATGCCCACGGAAAACTGCATTTAGCCATGGCTTCTTATGCTGATATACTCCAATGGCCTTTTTTCCCCCCTTTCTCTTCTACATGAACTCTACTCAGTTGTTCAGGTCTGGTAATCCAAAGATTCTTGCTCAGAAGGCAAATCCTGTTATGCTTGAATAGTCCTGCAGAGCCTGGCTGTCCTGTAAAGCAGCTCTTTGCACCTCATTTTTTCTGTTCCTTTCAATTTTTTCATGCATCATTCCTTCTTACATACTATGACTTGGATAGAACTGGCTTTCCATTACGCTGAAGGGCTCTTACTGTCTGAATGCTCTCACATTTGAATACAGGGTTCTCCAAAATTACCTTCCTTTTAATAGGACTTGATTTAGGAGAGATTTTATACCAGCACTGGAAGAAAATGGCTGAAAGGCTATTCATGAAAGTATTTAGTGATGTACTGCTTTCTTAAAATGAAGCAGAACTTGTAAACTTAACATACTGTACTAGAAGAAATCAAACCACTAAAATTTAGTTCAAGAATTCTTCAAAATAGGTGCTTGGGTTTTTGGTTTCTTTTTTTTTTTATAAGTTTTTTTAAGAAAACAGCAAGCACAAAAGCATTATTTTGAAAAACTCCTTGGTATTGATGTCTGCCTACATTTTTCAGCTAAATTCTGCTGGTTTTATAAAATACCTTTGAAGATGCTTTACAAAAAGGAAAACTAAGAGAAGCACATTGTATTCATCCCCCAAAATGAGTTGTTTACATTATAGAAGGGAAGGCTTTCTTGTTTGCTTAAAATCTTCTGAAGTAGAATAAGTACTAGATGAGATTTTCATAGTATCTTTTCCAGAGGCTATCCCTGAAAAATCATTTCTTCACTACAGTTTAAGACCTGCATATTGCTGTCATCAGTGACGCAGTGTAGGTAGAGACATCATGTTTTACTGGTAATGTGCAGCCTGGACAACTGAATAGCTCAAAAATGTAGGAAGATTTATATGCTGAATTCTGACCATAGGCCATTAGTGTGTGACAACCTTCCAAACTGAAATGCTTGAATAGATCTCATTTTCTTTATGAGCACTCAATGATAAAGCAACATGTATGTCATAATACCCCTTATATCGCTTTTTGATATGGTTTTTTTGCAGTGTTTCATGGTTATTGTTAGAAGATCTCAAACAGTACATTATTATTTATGAGAAAGATTGAAAAAGTGTGTATTTTTATTTTGTTATTTGCTGTTGCACCTGACTTTTCCATGTTGTTCATGTCCTATTGCTCCATTAGTCAACTTCATAAAATAAATATTCTAAAGAAACTAGCATAGAGTTTTCTTCAAAACCAATGGCTTTTTTTTTATGCTTCATTGGTACTGCATGGAGCTTTATATATGTACACATTTAATAATGAACATAAAAATTTGGATTTGTGTATAGATTATGTATTCTGGAAGAAATTTCTTGCTTTACAGACTACGCTACATTTTTGTGTATGCCATGTAGTCATGTAAATGAGAAACACTGTTTTTAAAGGAGAAGAGCTTTTGAGAGAAATAAGTGAAGAATAGTGTATCTAAACAAAGGTGTAGAAGATGTAAACATTTGGTGAAGAAAAATGTTTTACTTGAAGAGGCAAAGGGATACAGAGAAATAGAGTCATCAGCAATTGTATTTAGATTCTTGAAGGGGTTGAACATTATGAGCCAAGATCTAACTCTAACTCCTAAATTTTTTTTTGAAAAAATTTAGGAAATTGAATACCTAAAATATTAATCAGTAATCAGGATGTTATTCTACTATCTTTCTTCAACACACACATTATAGCTCCCAGCAGCAGATAGGAAATTTTCCCTATAAATCCACTGCCGTATGTCTAATGTAGTCACCTTCCTTTTCCACATGATTTCTGGCTATTTAGGGGCTTATATGAAAAAAATTTTTAAGTTCCCATTTTTCATGGCTGATAATTGATAACATCATAACTGAAAGAATTGTTTCAAGCCTCAGCAGATATAAAGAAGATTGAATGGAAATAGAAATTTGGAACATTTTCTTATTCAGCGCAACTGCTGTTCATATTATTGTTAAAGTCACCAGGAGGAATGTAGCACCTTGTAATCCCTTTATATCTCTTGTATCTGTCCTTGTATCTAATAGAGCTGTCTCTAAAATAATCAATTTAACATCCCTTATTACAATTAGAGCTGCTTCTTAAAAATATTACCCTCATCAGGTGACTGTTCACCTTTTTACTCATGAGATGTTGCTAATACAGATAAGTATCAGTAAAAATCTGAACGGAGGGGGAAATGGTGCTGTGTTTAATATAAATTAGTGTTGCAAACAGGAGTTGTTGAGATCTAGGCAAAGACTGTATCACAGTGAGTGATACAAAGAAAATATCCAGAAAGGAAAATGTGGAAGACAAGCTACTAATTAACTATAAACATTGAAACTGGATCTACCTAGTCTCAAGTTATTGCTATTTATTATTAAAGACTGCCTTTATGATTTTTTTTTTAATTATAAAGTTGCCTGGGCCAAATCCTATCCTGTTTTCTTCTTTCATACCTGTTATACAGACTTTGAGGCCTCACTCATGTGGAAGTCCTTGTAATGGCTTTGTCTTGCAAGCTAACTTCCAGTGAGAGAATGAACAGCTTTGGCAGAGATAAAGCAGTCAAGTTCTTACATAAAAAACTTCACTCTTTTGGGAGATCAGTTTGGGATGAATTATGCATTATGCTTCTGGGCCAACTTTTTAAAAATTATGCTGAAAAAGTCTGTGCTTGAATGTTTGTTTTATCTTTTGTTTAATTTTAGATAGAACTGAACACCAGATCAGTCCTAAGGGACTCTTGGCTGGCAGGAAGAGTTTTTGGCTTGGACCATTATTCATGCTACTCTTAGACATTACAGGAAAAATCCTGAATGACAATAGATCTATTTACTATAACTATTAAAAAAATACTCTAAACTATCATACTTCAGCATAGATCCTTATCTGCCTCCATGCAGTCATTCTTTTAGAGTGCCACATAGGTGATTTGTGGGCCATATTTAATGCAGTAATACCACTAGACTCTTAAAACCCAGGGCAGAGGGTTAGGAATATGACCTCTGTATAGTATACAAGTACAATGGCAGCTTTTTATAGGTTCAAAAAAATCATGTGGGTTGGAAGAGACCTCTAGAGACCAGGTAGAATTGTTCAAAGCAGGTCCAATTACAGCAGCTATTCAGCACCTCAGCCAGTTAAATTGAACATATCCAAGAATGGAGTTTCTGCAACATTCTCAAGTACCTGCCCCATTAGTTGACTGCTATCATGTTAAAAAATAAAAATTGTTTTCCTATATCTAGTTGGAGTTTTCCATGTTCTGATAGCCATTGAATCTCATTACAGTGTACCCTCGAGCAGAGTCCATTTCTGTCGTTGAAGAAAGTGGTAGGATCTCACCTTCTCATCAGGCTAAAGCAAACAGCTCACTTGCCTGTTCCATCCTGTTAGCCACCCTGGTGGGCATTGGGTGTACAAAATCCAGGATGGCCTTGTGCCTTGTACTGGGAAGCCCAAGGCTGACAGCAGGACTCCAGCTGTGGTGTCACAGATGCCACGTGAAGGGGAAGAAGCACAAGCCTTGACCTGCTGGCTGCACTCCTGTGGGTACAGCCCAGGATGTGGCTGGCTGTCTCGAAAGGGCACACTGCCAGTTCATGTTCATCAGATTGTCCTCCAGGAAGCCCAGGACTTTTCCTGTGGGACTGCATTCCAGCCAGCCAAGGCCCACCCTGTATTGCTGCACAGGGTTATTCCAGCCCCCATGCAGAACATTGTATTTTCCTGCATTGATGTTCCTGAGGTTTAGTTTATCCAGCTAGTCTAGACGCTGGCTTCTGGCCTGTTGACCACTTTCCCATCTTTGGTATTATCCACAGACCTGCTGAGAATATATTTTATCCCATCAGCCTACTTGGTAATAAAGATATTAAGCAGTATGGGTTGCAGTATGAGTCTTTAAGGAAACAGCAGTGTTTGAAATTCCAGGATCTCAGTGGGTACCTAAAGGATGTGTTTACTTAGAAAAGGCAGTGCTATGCACTCTGTAAGTTCAGTCACTGAAGTTACTTTGGACCTCAGTGATTTCTTCTCAGAAAAGTAATGAAGGAGAAGCTTAAACTGGTTCAAGTCATGTCTTAAAAGAGCACAACTGCAACTGCCCACCCATGAGAGCCAAGGAGTGCCCACAGTGTGTGCATGGCAACTGCCTGGAAAGGCTGTGATCGGGAGGAGAGACACATTTCCAGAATGGTCCAACTGCTTTCCCCATCCCCTTCAGTCAGCTGCAGGTTGAATTGACTTGTTCTGTCTCCAGTTTCTGCCTGTGACACCTTGTGTCAGCACCTCTTACGTAGGATAAAAACAGAGTAGATTAAATTTGTTCAGATTATTTTATACTGATAATTCCATTATAATTGCTTCAGACCGTGTGAGTGAGAATAAAATGAGGAAGAGTGTAGTCATCTTGTGCTCTTTAGCAAAATTGTTAATGCCAGAAAAACATCCTCTGGGATTTCTCTGGGGACAGAAAGTCACAAAAGGCCAGTCCTAATTACTCTGATTGCAGTCATAAGACAAGTCAGTAACTTGTAATCGATGGTGTTACCAGTGGACTAGAACTCAAATGTCATCACTGTTGGCTGCCTGGTTTTCATTTGTTTGTTTACAGCCACTGTGTAGTGACAGTATGATGGGTTTGCCCCTTTCTCTTTCAAACTGTCACTTTAAAATTCACTATCACTGAATTAAGGTAAAAAACTCTGCACTTAGAGGTGACTGTTTACTAATTAATATTTAGATTTGGGCAGCTAAAATCATCTTTCAAGTGAACAAATATTTGCATTGTAAAAAGCAGTGTGTAGCTGTAGTAGGTGGCTGTCTTGGAAGTTCCTTGAGCAGCTCTGTTCTCTCACTGTGGCTTTTCACAAACACAGCTGGAACATGTTGATTATGTGGTGCAAAACAAACTTACATCGTTGTCTGTGGTGTGCTATTATGTTAGATAAACAGCTGTCTGTATTCTGTAGGTCCTGAGCATCTTGATAGCAGCAGGATTGTTTAAGATACATATTCAGCTCTTCGTTAAACGAAAATCAAGTATTGCTGTCAGATGATAATTCTTCTATGCTCGTGTATCCCTTACTGAGGATACATTTTCTCCTTCTTAACCATAGTAATCCCTCTTTCCATGTCTTTTATGGCCTTAACCTTGCATAAAACATCCAGTTCCTCAGTCAGTATTTATCAAGTCCTAAATTCTGTTTCCCCTGCCTTTATTCTGCTAAGAGGCAGATCAGGCAGCTGATGATGTTGAATTTAAGTGGTACATAGTTGATGGTGGCATAGCAGACCATCCATCTGTTGTTCCCCCCGGGTTTTAGGGGCTAGGTATATTGAAGTGTAAGTTTAATTAGTTGGGTTCTTAATTATTATAGTGGAAATTGATAGTTGTAGCCAGGAGGTACCTCAAAAATAACAGTTAACATTTTTCACAGTAAAATTGAGGGATTTGACTAACTGTAGGTATATTTTTGTCAAGATTCTGTCCCTTAAAAATAGATAAGTTTTTGCATTAGAAATGAAAAAAATATTGGTAGTTTCTGGTTAAAATATTTAGATGCAGACATGTATCTCAGTTTCCTCAGAGATTTAATAAACTGTACAAATAGTGGACTGTAAGGGAATTTATTTGTAGATTGACAGCATACATACTGGTTCTATCAGTTGCAACTGTTCTTTGATGTTGTCACCTTTTCTTAGGGTTATCCAGTGTAATGTTTATTCTATTTGTTAAAATGGAGTAGTGTTCAGTATCTTACCTAAACTTTAATTCCAATTACTCTTCCAAAAGATTCCTACTTTATTTGACCCAGGAGGGAGGTATCTAGGCTTGTTGTGTCTTCTGATGTGGTCTGCTTAAGTCTGCCAGAAAGCTTCCTTCTTGTTAGGCAGCTGGCATAGGGTGGTTTGGAGAGGAAGGAGAGTGATCAAGAAGCCAAATTTGTAGTTTTGATTAGCATTCAGTTGTTGAATTTGATCTCATTAATGCTCAGTATTTGATTTGGCTGCACAACTCTTGGTCAGCTCTTGGTTACCAGAAGAGGTTTATCCAAACTCTGAATGCTGAAAGGGGCACTAAATGATTCCTGCACATGGAAGTGGGATGACCTAGATCATTACCAACTCTTTCTGCAGAGGACACTTACACACATTCTCCCTCTTTCCCTTCCGTCACCACTTACACTTCAGGGAGATGCAAGGGGATTTTGGGCTGAAAACTCTGAACTCTGAACATATCTATGCAAGGATGAAACAGAAGCTCACATCTCAATTTTTTTTAACTTTCCGTCATTTGGCAAGAGGCATTTTACCTCGTTTCATGTTTTAGTGTTTTTGAATGACGAACCAAACACACTTTTCTCTCTCCAGGTCTCCTGCAAGCGCAGAATCTCTTAACGCAACTACCTCAGCAAAGCCAAGCCAACCTCCTGCAGTCTCAGCCAAGCATCACCCTTGCCTCGCAGGTCAGGCTTTTCCCTACACTTCATGACTTGCTTTGAGGGGATTTACACTATGGCAAGTGAATGGACCCTTTGCATTAGTTACTTGAATAGATGTTGTAGTTATAATAATGAATTTGTCTTTCTAGATAGTTCAGGTTTGTAGCTCCCACCCCAGTGTGCCTCTTTTCAGGCTTTAATGTTCTAAAGTGGATTTTTAGCTGTAAATTTTCATGATTGGTACCTTGAGTTAATAGCACTAGAGCAATGTTTGATTTTCTGTAAGGTTTTCTTGAAAATTCAGAGGAGCAAGGTGTGAGCTCCCTCAAAAGCTCCAAAAGGGGTTCACTGACAAGCCTCTTTCTGAAGATTGCAGTGGTAATCTATCTTTATTTTAGTGTAGTTATTTTGCAATCACTGCCAAGTCATTGCCAGTCTTACCAGTCAGCATCTGTGAAACGGAAGATATTGTTAGAAATGAAATATTCTGGTAGATATATATTAAAATATTCGAGCTCTGTGATTAAGTTTTCAGACTATAAGAAAAGCAATTTTTTAAGGTTGCATGTGCCTGCAAATTTAGTTGTGCTTGGCTCTGGGTTTTACTGTGCAGTTTAGTTTCATAGCTCCATGCTGTTTCTCAAATACCATGTAATATCACACAGTATCTTCCTGCCACCTCGGTTACACACAGGAATTTTCTAGTCTGCAATAAGGTGGCTGAGTCTATCAGAGTCTTAGAAAACTACATTTTCTATTATACCACTTCTAGTATTTTTCATGCACCATGTGGAAAATGGAATTTGTCTCACCTCTAGTTCATACCTCAGCTAGCAGCATGATTCCACACTAAAGATTATTCTTGGATTTAAAAAAAAAATTAAAAGCACTAAGATAATAAATTATGTAAAGTGGGTGAAATAATTGAAGATATATTGCATTAATTACCCGCTATGATTAATGTAAATGAAAAAATATTAAAAACCTTTAAGTGTGACACATGTATCTGCAATCCTAGATAGATCATATATGATTACATTATTTCTCAAGTAATGGAATTATAGATCTTGACCTCCCTCTACCATCTGCTGTGCACTGCAAAACACTGCACTAACCCAGGAGGAAAACAATGTAAGGAGTTATGTAAAGACTGAGCTATATGTAGGCCAGTTCTTTTAGAAGAGCCTTTTCTGAACCTTTGCATAGACTTTGCATAATACACTAGTGTTGCCTGGACTTGAGGCTGTTCTTGTTTGCCCTGAAGGAATCCAGAGTTTCAGAACTGGGTGTAGGACACAGGGGCATGAAATCACCTTTACTGAAGAGCCCCAGCTAAAGTGACTAGAATTTAACAGGATAGATGATTTGTCTCTGCATCTCAGCTGATCATGGCATGTGAGGAGGTAGAGCTATGCAATCACAACATTTCCAGTGTTCTTGTTGCACATAAAGCCTGACCTGGGTAATACCAGATCTAAATATATTTTGTTCACCTGTGAACATTGTCCAAGATGCTAATTTTTTTCAGATATTTATTGTAGTTGCATCGTAAAATGCTTTAGTATGCCAATGTTCAGGAATAGTGAACCTTTCACGGACTTCCTAGAAAAGTATCCTTTATGTAGAAGAAAAGTGTGACCTGAATGAATAATTTTCTGCAGATTCCCTTTGCTTAATTTCTTGTGTCACCAGTATGTCCATTTCAGTGTTGCAACTGTTGACGGAAGGGTTAGAGGTAAATCTAGTCTTTTCTTCCTGAACAGTTGAGTCAGTCACAAGAGATGGCATTGGAGGAAATTTGACATGTTTGCTGCATCTGTACATGCTCACTCTTCCAGGATTAAATAGGGGAGTTGAATCTTTTGGGATGCTGACAATCTGCCACCTCACAAGACCAGTAGATTAAATTTTAATTTTTTTTCAAAAGGGATGAATACCAAGGTGTCTATAGGTGATAGAAGTGTGTTCAGTCTTTCTTTGAGCAGCTTCTGCAGCAATTAAAAGTTGTTGGTTACCATTGAACATCTCTTACTTGTCTTTAACTGGTTACGACAGAACGTTAAAAGCCTGTCATACTATTGTAGTTGTCTGGATTGTGTTTGCTTGTTCTGGAGAGGAATGTTAATAAATGGAGGAACTTCCAGATTTCAGGACACGTCCAATCCACTGACCTCTCTCACAAGAACATCACATAGCTTTTAGGAATTTAATTTCTGTTGATTATCCTCTTAAGTCTGATTTTCATCCTTTCCTTGCTGTCTCAATAGCCAGCAACCCCAACACGCACAATAGCAGCGACCCCCATTCAGCCACTTCCACAGAGCCAGTCAACACCAAAGCGAATCGACACTCCCAGCTTGGAGGAGCCCAGTGACCTTGAGGAGCTTGAGCAGTTTGCCAAGACTTTCAAACAAAGACGGATCAAACTTGGATTCACTCAGGTGAGACTGCGTACCTTAGTGCCTGCCAGTGTGGAACCTGAGGTCTCATCTTTCAAGTCTGGGGGGAGACTACAATTCCATCATTCCCTAGGAGAACCTGCTTAAATAGGGTTATGCTCTGGCCTTTATGTGGGGGATTTCTAAGAAATAACAGAACAAGCCATACATCCATCTTACTTCCCTGTTGGTTTTAAAGCATAGCCATTTTCCCAGCAGGGGAAAACGTGCATTTACCAGCTCCAGATGTCATTGCATGTGCACTATTCATTCCATGGGATGTGACATGAATGGGACAAAGCACTTTAAAGCTGCCTTTAGAAGTACAAAGTTCCAAAAATCATACAGTACAATTAACTGCTCTGTGTGTTTAAAAAGTGTATCACATCTGTGCAGTTGCTTTGGATGTCAAAGGGTTTTTATCTCTCAAGCGTATTTTCCTATTAAACATCAATGATTTCTGTATTTAATGCTTTTGCTAAGGTTCCTAAACAAAACCTGAAAGGACTGTCACCTTTGAAGTTTTCTCCTTACAAGGGTGAACTGGAGTTGTGGTTTGTTTTGGTTTGTTTAAAAGCTCAGAAATACCCGTAGAGCAGAAGAAAACTAATCTTGAACATAGTGAAGGTGGTTGAATGAAGACCACAATTAAAAGTACAAAGTGCATTTATATGTTCCATTATTCTTTTGAAAGGAACTTGGTTCCAAGAGTCCCTTCTTATTAAAATCAAAATTATTTTTTCCCCCTGCAAAATTAAAATATCTCCCCAGATAAACAATTCGTTTTGGCTGGAATCTGTGGTTAAGCATAAGCATGATTTTACTAGAAGAAAGAGCATGCAAAAATCAAAGTATTTAAAAGTCTGAGCTCAAAGCAGTCAGTCCAACATATGTGATGGAATAGAATAAGTAAATCTTCTCTAGCTGAAAGTATGTGCTGAAGTCAGATTTATTTTTCTGGCAAAGTCCTAAATTGAAAAATCAAAGCTCATAATGAGAGTTTCTGGCAGCATCTTAATTATAAGTCAAGAACAGAATGTTCTTAGTCAAATGAAGTGCATTTTGCTGGCATGTGTGTCTCCTTCCCTCCCTTCTTTCCACTAGAGGGAAGCACAGAAATACAAGTGATGGACACACACAAAAGCTCGAATAGAGCAGCACAGAATAGGATAAAATACAATAGCTTCCCTATAGCCTGACAGAGGAGGTTCTTGTAGATCTCTCATTATTATGTTTAATCTGCCCTGCTGTGAGATGATTATAAAAGCTCAACTAGACTTTTTAAGCTGTGTGTTAACCTTTCTTTATTGACCTGGTTATGAATTTTCATGGTGAGGAAAAATGAACACAACTGCTCAGGCTTGCATTTCAGTATTTGCTTTTCAGATTAAAAAAGGGGAATCTTGAGAATGTGATAAAATTGCATTCGGTCATTCCTATCCTACTCTGAGTTTGTATGTGTGTAATTAGGCTGTTCTAATAACTTTAACCTAATTGCATAATTGGATGATAATTAGAGACCCTGATTACTTTGGTTTCGTATGGTTGGATAAATAGACTCCCGTTCAGAGGATAAAAGAAATTTATTTCCAGCAGTACTGTAAGCTTTTTCAGACTCACCCCACCCCTGCCTTTCAAAAATAATTGTAAGATTTAGTTTGCATTGCAAACTAATCACTTACTACATTCTGTCATGTGAACAATAAAACAGGTTTTGAATTTCAGCAGTTCTGCTTCTTCTCCCACCCTGAAATGTGGGTGATGCATTTAAATCTCTTTGTTTGTTTTCCTTAAAAATACCTCCATATTTGACACACAGGCACACAATGAGCAAACTGCACCTTAGCATCATTGCAGGCCTGGGACTAATTGCTCAGTACAGATTCAAGAGACATGAGTGAACATTTTAGACAATGTTATTTTTATTCTGTGAAAGGAATTGCCTCTGCTAGACCATCTGAGCTTCTTAACAGACCAGTACACACAACAATGGTGTACCTTATAATCAGTTGCAGTTCATTACCAGAGCTTCAGTCAACCTACAGAGTAGATCAGATGTGTATACAGTGCCTTCATACTCTGTTCCATCCTATCTGTGGGCCATCCCAAAATATAAAATTCTCATCCCAGTATGTAAATTCCTTTGCCTACAGCTGAAATGCTGCCACCTTTTGGCATTGACAAAGAAATGGTTGACTATTCATTTTAAATCAGATGGCAAATGTTTGTAAGAACAACATAAATCCAGAATTAAATTTAGTTGGGGGACTGGAGCAAATTTCATAACTCTTTCCTGCCAAGACATAAATCAACTTATCTCTAAAATGGTTTACATAGCCAGGTTTTCTTCTTCATAAACCCAGAAGAGCATCCACGCTACTCCTCTTGGAATGATTTATGAGTTTAAAAATGCACAGAATCCTGGCATATGAGTAGAGGCATAAATGTGAGTTCCCACGTGTTTCCTCTGATTGAAGGGCACACAAACCAATTGTTCTGGTCCTCTTCTAGGAAGGAAATTGTTTTCTTTGCTCAGCCTGCACAATTTACTAAGCTTCCCAAAAGCTGTTTTCTTCCTGGCTTGTGTGTGGCCACTCTGCATGCTGTCAGTGTACTCATACCCAGCTGTGGTTGTGGAGCTGACCTCAGAGAAGAGCGAGCTTTATGCCCAGTCCAACTAACCCATTTGCAATTAAACTCCACTAACTGTGCTCCAGCTTTTCAGCCTCTTCTTCCACACTTCTCATACTTCGTTTTGTGCTTAAAAAAATAAAAATCTAAATAAAGCTGCTTTAGATCGAATAGTATACTTGAAATATAAGTGCTTTTTTATTTTTTTTTTCAAAAGGCAGGACCCTCCAGCTTTAAAGCAAAGCATGAAAATATTATGGTGTTTTTAATGGCCACAATCAAGAATGGATTGATTTTTTTTTTTAAACACTACTTTCCAAGTGTGTACTTACATAGCTATATAATATATACATAAATATTAGGATAAGCAGAATGTCTGCTAGCAGAATAGCTAGCTAAAACTGAGTTTAAAAAGCAATAACAGATGTAAAGAGATGATAATCTGCCTGTAAATCTCCTGGATTGCTTTCTGGCAGATGGGTAATGATAGTCAAGACTGCAGTTAATCATTACTTGAAATGGTTCAACTTCTTGTCTGCTTTAAAATTTGTATCTATTGGGGAGAAATTTGGTTTGAACCTCAGAAGATACTAGCAGTTCAGATAAGAATATTTCTGCATCTATTTAAATGTGATGTATGGTTGCAGACATCTTGTCCTGAGTATTTTCTACAAATTTGGGAAAGTGAATTCATTGCATTTCTGCTTATTTGAACTTTCAGTGTGAAATAGGCATAAAAACTTAAATCTGCTCCCAAAGAGAGCTTGGCATTTACTTATTTTAAAAAACTAAGAAAAAATTACGAGTTAACATTCAGTGGAATGTGCTGCTCAGTGATAATGCTAAGAAGACAAAGCATCAGGGATTTCCTGGAAAGAGTTGCAAGGTTAAACTGACTGAGGTTTGACATTTCTTTATGATTATTGCTCTAGCATGAATCTTGGTAGCGCTGAGGAAGCCTCTGTGAAACTGAAATCCCACGCAGCAGTGGAGTCACTAAGAGAACACCAGAATGTGACAGGATTCCTTGCTTTGGAAGTGCCTATGTCAGTGAATCCCTTTTTTCTCTTTCTTTGTCCAGGGTGATGTTGGGCTCGCTATGGGCAAACTCTATGGAAATGACTTCAGCCAAACTACCATCTCTCGCTTTGAAGCCTTGAACCTCAGCTTTAAGAACATGTGCAAGTTAAAGCCACTTCTGGAAAAGTGGCTCAATGATGCAGGTGAATGAGTCTGTGTATTTCACCAGCCTACCAAAATCAGTAGGATTCTGAAAAGCTGCTTCGTTTGTGCCCTTATGGTTTTATGAAGCTACCAGCCTTTGTAGCTGCCCATGGGACAAATGAAGGTGTAGAAATAAGGGTCCGTAGTTCTCTTTCCTTGTGCCTATATGCATCCAAAATAGTTCCAGTATGAATTTTCAGAAATGTGTTCTCTAGACAGCTGAACCATTGCATGGGATGAGGTACAATATGTGTCATGGTTTTCCTCCTTCGTGTATGTTAATGCATATAACGTCTAATCCTCTTCTAGCTTTCTTTTTCAGATGTGTATTAGAGAGAGGGTTGCATGATTTGTTGTTTCAGTAGGCAGAGCTTATTGCATCCATTTCCTTCCATACCCTGTGTGCATTCTTTTTATCTCTCTCTAAAGGTTCAGATAAATAATATTTTTTCCCTGTAGGAAGAGTTCTTTGTGGATTAGGTTTTGCTTTTTCCCTCCCATATTAATTTTTTTTCTGGGATACAAGTTATTCACTATGCCAATGTTGGTAGTGTTCTTTTTTTTTTATTCTCCACCAGCTAAAGGATCTTGTGTGGTGGTGCTAGGTGTTAGGAGAGAAAGTGTTCGAGAGTGCTGTCAGCCAGTTTTTTCTTCCAAGTATGCAATTGTACATAGTATAAAGCTGATGGATATGTTAAACAGATGGCAGGGATGGTGTGTGCCTTCCTATTTTTATCCTATTTTAAAATGGAGAGAGCTTTATGCTGGCACCTACAGCATTCTCTGAAATTTCGAAAGTAATTTCATGCAGTGTTGAAAATTTGTCCTGCATTGAGAAAAGGAAGTGTCATTCTGTTGTGCTGGCAGGAGTTATCATTAGGTGTTGTAGGTCTGTGATAGAAAACATAAATACCTCCACACTGAATGCTCAAGTCCACAGGACAGCGGTCCCCAAACCTTCCAGCAACATTGGATGGATCCAATGCTGCAAGGAGTGTCGTAGGGGCTTTCTTTCCTGCTAGCCTGAAGAAAGACTTGTCTCTGTAAAGTTGAGTGAATGGTGTCATGGTTCTTCACACCCTGCAAGCCATTGTCTTTGGCTCTGACTCAGTTCCATGAAAATCTTTGGAAGAAAGATTCAGGCGACTTCAGAAGCTTCTGTTTTAGGTAAAGTAGGCAGGAGAAGCATACTGATGGTTCCAGAATTTATTGCCGTGGAACTCAGCTGGTTCTCAGTGGAGTTTTCAGACCGAGGAAGGGTTTCCACATATTTACAGGTGCCTTTACTATTAAAAAAAATCTAGAAAATACTTGCCCATTTGAGTCTACCAGAATAATGGTGGGGATTGTGAACTTTGTCACCTGCTTATCACCCACAAACCCCAGGGCAATGAAGGAACTCCAGCCACAATTAATGATTTTGTTTAAATTCCCAAAATTGCCATTTGGTTAGATTGCTCTTCCTGCTGCAAAATGGGGTTAAATGTTCTCTCTTTGCTCCTCTGTGAAGCCAGAAAGACAGGATTAGGGGTTAAGAGCCCTGGTGAAGTTAAGAAGGGGCAGCTGCTTGCTGTGTGGAGTGGTTGGTAGCCCTGAGTAGCTGCTAAGATGTCCAGAGAGAACAGACTCAGCACTGTGGAGCCGGTGAACTTCTCTTCCTCAAGTGTTTTGTAGAGTGGGTAAAAGAAATTTCAGGCTGCTCAGATTTTTTTCATAACTGCCTGTGACTTTCAGCTATGGCTCATGGATATCAAGTACTCCTTTTTCCTTTAAACTGGAGCTTGCAGTGAGTCAGTGGGGAGCAGACTGAGATATGGGAGACAAGCTCTGTATAGGTCCTAAAAAAGGGATACTGTGGTAGCATACAGGAGCAGAGGACATCCCCTGGGCTTATTTGTAGCTTTTTTGTTTTAGGTATATGTTGTATTTTGTAAATACAGTGATTAATGCATGTGATCGTCATAAACCTCTATATATTTGGAATAGATACAGAGCAGGTCTTAACGTACCTTGCACAGGTGAAGAACACATGCATTAGACTGCACTGCATTCAGATGAAATCTCCTGATTTGTATTACTTTCTTCTTTTTCAGAAAACCTCTCATCTGATTCAACTCTCTCCAGCCCAAGTGCCCTGAATTCTCCAGGGCAAGGGATCGAAGGCTTGAACCGTAGGAGGAAGAAACGCACCAGCATAGAGACCAACATACGTGTGGCCTTAGAGAAGAGTTTCCTGGAGGTCAGTGCTCCTGGTGCTGTGCTCAGCCTATGAAAAAATGGAGAAACTTCACTTAACAATTTTATTTGTTAGAGTGAACCCATTACTGTGCTATTTAGGAAAGTGCTAGTACTAAACAAGGGGAATACAAAAGCCATGCCAAGAAACGTGCATCAACATCTGTTTCACTTTAAAAACAAGCACAAACCCCCTCAGAAAAACTCACTGGCTCTTGCAGTTCACTGACTTTGTGATTTTGCATTCCAGTATACTCAGACATGGGTTTAAACACTTCCCTTCATGAGGATGGATAAATGAGGCAATAGTCTAAGCATACATAATTTGAGGTTTTTAGATGGAGGGCAGAAGCATCTACTGTGGTTTGTCGCTATGGTACCACTGACCAGATTCTGGATCTAAATCACCAATTCAGATTTCTGCCTACTGGAGAAGAAACTATGTTGCAAAACTCCAGGAGGTAATTTCAGAGCTTTTCAAATACTATTTTCTTTTGTCAGAACCAAAAGCCTACCTCGGATGAGATCGCCATGATAGCTGACCAGCTAAACATGGAGAAGGAGGTGATCCGCGTTTGGTTCTGTAACCGGCGCCAGAAGGAGAAAAGGATCAACCCACCCAGCAGTGGTGGAACCAGCAGCTCGCCCATCAAAGCAATTTTCCCTTGTCCAACCTCACTGGTAAGGGTCAAGAACTGTGTTGACAAAGATCACTGGTGGAGGTAGTTCTGCTGTGCTCACTGTGGAGGCGTTACACGTGCTGCACCTTCTTTGTACAGCAGACTTGTTCTCACATATTTGTGTTTTACTGACATTTTGAGTGTTCCACCTGGATACTGTCTAAGAGAGATAATGCTTACAAATCAGGCACTAGTCAGGCCTTCAGTGAGAGTGTTTTATTTAGTCAGCTCATGAACAAATATTCTGACTACCAAATTTGCACTTGGGGTTGTTGCATTGAACTTACTTCAGATAATGCCTCCAGTTTATATCTGGACTTTCCTTCTTTTACCCAATTTTTTAAAAAATAAAATAATAGTATTTTTTTAAGTGCTTAATAGCTCTCCCTGCCACCTCTTATTTTAGTAGCTCTGGTCAGTAAATGAGCAGCAGTAAAATGTGTAATGCCCTGGAACGGGTTGCCCAGAGAGACTGTGGAGTCTCCCTCACTGGAGATACTCAAGAACCATCTGGACTCAATTCTGTGCCATGTGCTCTAAGAGTGACCCTGCAGGGAGGTTGGACACAAGGACCCACTGTGGTCCCTTCCGCTCTTACCCATCCTTTGATTCTGTATCATTTGGAGACTTAGGTCACACAAATCCAATGATACCATTGTTGTTTCTTCTAGTCAGAAATTATTTATATAATAAATAACAAAGTCATGGAACAGAAGAACAGTTCAGCTAATACTCATTTCCCACACTTGTATTTACCTCAGGTAAACACAAACTTCATGAAAATAAGAGTAACAAAACACATGCATCAAGGTTCCTTCAGCACCTTTGCTACCAATGTCCGTGGAGGTCTGTTTTCATAAATAGAAACAGTAGCTATTAGATTTCATAGTAGCTATGCTAATAGGAATGTGGTGGAATTTATGTAGCCTGTAGCTGTCCTTTTGTAGTATTTATTCCACCCTCATCACCGTAGTAGCTAATATCTTCCAGTACTTCATTAAACCATTAATTTTGGTGATGTGTTATTCTCTCCCCTCATGCTTGTCTCAGGGTGTGTGCATGCAACCAACCTTTTGTTTCAGGGGAAGGACTGTTTAATGTACTTAGTCTTTTTTATTATTGTTGTTTTGGTTTGGGTTTTCTTTTTTTTTTTTTTTTTTTCCCAGTTGCAAAGCAAGGTTGCATGCCTTGCTACCAAAGCAGAATGTAGTGAGATTTATGATAGTATGTTTTAGTAACTGTGCAAGTTCCCTCAGACTGAAACTTAAAGGAGCTTTCCTAGGGAAATTTTCCTGTTGCTATAATCTGCCATTGTATATAAGAAATTGAGGTGTTAACCACAGTCTCCCTTTCATCAGTGAAGTTTCACTAGTGTTTTCACTCATTCTAAGCTTCTCTTAACACTGTGCTGCTACTCAAATGGATGTTCCAACCCTGCTGCCACCAGCCTTCACTGACTGTGTGCTTTGTTGATTCCTTGTGTCAGCTCTGGAGATTGTGCTCATAGGATGCTTGGGCTTACTTTAGTATTTTGACTGCAAATTAGCCATGTGAGGAGCAATGATGAATTTTCAGTATGGTTAGATAACCTGTGTGACTTGCAGCCTGGCTGCACGAGGGCGGGGGCTCTGCAGCAGCATTGGAGGGGAAGGCTCCTTTTGGGGGCAGCCTGCTTTGCATTGGCTGGAGTCACTCACTGTAACCACGGGGGTGAGCTGTATTAATTCCAGGTCATTCTCTGCCCTGAAATAGGGATGGTGACCTTGGCCTTAACTGTTTGCTGGACAGATGACAGATGTGGTGGCTGGGCTGCATTAGTGGGAGGTGTACTGTGCATCCAGCTCCTCTTAATTTCATATGCTGTTTGAGATGGGCAGAAAGCTTTCAGATCTGTCCCAGTTGCCCCAGTCTTGTTTAAAATGCATGCAGCATTTGACTCCCTCTAAGAGGCAGGAGAGATATTTCTCTGATAATAGATTTAAGGTAAGAGAGTGGAAAGGAGGAATGTTTAGCCTATATCCTTGCCTATGTTCTCTTGGGCAATTCTAAAGGATTCATTTCTCTCATTGATGTATAACAGTCTTCAAATATTACTGTTGGACACCATTTCTTGTCCATAAAAAGTCCTTTCCTTATATTTCATTTTTCCTCATAAGCTAGTTTCTCCAGCCTTAAATCTTTGGTGTTTATCTGAAATGTCTTCAGTTTATTTTAGCTTTCTTGTAATAAACCATCCACAATTGAAAACTCCATTTGTATGTTTTAAAATTCAGAGATCCTTCCTCTGGCACAAGGAAGCTTATCAAAGGAAAGTTTATAGTTTATTTGAATAAAAGTGAAATGTTATTCTGCTTCTCCATATAAACACATTACTCTAAATACCTTTGTTAATGCTGGGGCATTTACATAATTTTATCAGAAAGAGATGTGGAGCTGAAAAGATGTTTGAACAAGAAAAAGAAAAGTAGAAATAATATATTTTGTAACTCTTTCTGTAAGAGTGTCTCTATTAAAACAAGGTGCTGTCTTTGTGGGGTGGCAGAGAGGGCTAACTTGCAGTCTTGGGAATTATGGATAGGGGTGTATCTGCTTTCAAATACTGAATTATTAGGAATAAAGATATTGCTGGTAATTAGAGAAGATGCTATGGATGTTTCATTGAGTGATAAAGTAACCAAATTACAAAAAAAAAAATTAGTTTATATGCAGTGTTTTTGCTGATAATTTCCTCAGCTGAGGGTGGAAAGAAAGAAATCCAGGTCTAGTGTGTAACTCTGAGCTGAGCAGTTTTATTCGGTTTTGACCTCCAGGTGGCAACCACGCCAAGCCTTGTGACTAGCAGTGCAGCTACAACCCTGACTGTCAACCCCGTGCTCCCTCTGGCCAGTCCTGCTGTCACCAGTCTGTCAGTCACAGGTAAGGGCTGATCTCTGCTGCCACCACATCAACCCCTACCGTTTGTCCCTTTTGAATTCTTAAGAGAGTCATTCACTATTGGTCACTGGTATCCCAGGACATTCTTGTCATCGTTCCTTGTTGCTGCACTAAGAAGCTTCAGTTTTTGTGATCACTGAGTTGACTTTTCCAGGAATAAAATCACAGGTGGTGCCGAAACAAAATATACTGTATTTTATTGCTGGCTTCTGGAGCTCCTCAGCCCCACATTGGGAAGTGTCATTTCATTTTTTCATTTGAACTCTTGGTGCTTTTTGGTACTACAGAAATGTGTGCTTGTACCCCTTTCAGCTGGACATGCAGTTGGGATCAGGTGGGCAGGAGTTTCTGTTGTCTGGCATCCGTGTTTTGTACTGATCTGACCAGACCCATTCTTCCAGGCACAACAGAAACCACCTCCAACAACACGGCAACAGTGATTTCAACAGCACCTCCAGCTTCTTCAGCAGTGACATCACCCTCCCCGAGCCCTTCCCCTTCTGCCTCAGCCTCCACTTCAGAGGCCTCCAGTGCCAGTGAGACCAGCACAACACAGACAACCTCCACTCCCTTGTCCTCCCCTCTCGGGACCAGCCAGGTGATGGTAACGGCATCAGGGTTGCAAACGGCGGCAGCGGCCGCGTTACAAGGAGCTGCACAGTTGCCTGCAAATGCAAGTCTTGCTGCCATGGCTGCTGCAGCAGGGCTAAACCCAGGCTTGATGGCATCCTCGCAGTTTGCAGCTGGGTAAGGATCAATTTTGCACACCCTTTTAGGTGAGGTGACAGAAGAGTGAAGGAAAATTTTTGGGATAAATTGCTTTTATGTATCGCTGTCATTTGTCTGAGATTCTGAAGGTTTACTCATAGATGGCAATGGACCATTCCCATCACAGTACACGAATACTGTGCTCATTTTAAAGGTGAAAAAGCTGTGTTGCGGTGATGTTGTTGTGTGATAAATCATTCATCCCACTGCAGAGCTTGACTTAAAAACTGCAACTTACCACTGAACCACAGAATCTGTCCTATTAATTGTAAAATGGAGAGATAGCCTAGACCCACTTCACACCTCTGTATTCATTTCTCCATCATGAGCAAGAAGTTCTCAAAGATGCAAAATCATGTATTGTTGAAGTTATAGTTTAAGAAGTTTTGCTCAGACAGATGTTTCTTTAATTCCTCTTGATTTACATATTTCTTATCTGCCTTTGGGACAGGATGATAGTTCTCTAACAATTAACAGTTTTTCCAAAATACTTTACGAGAATATTTTACACCAACAGTCAATGCAAGTCATGTATTTACAGTGCTTGTACTTTGGGCATGTCATGAAACCCTCATGGAGTTAAAAGTAAAATAACCCATAAATAGCCCTTGATCTCTGGTCTTTCCTCCCTCCTTGCCCTTCCCCCTTTTTTTAAAAATATGATGGTGTGCCTTAAAACAGTGACAACCTTTTCTTAAAAGTAACACTCTTTCTTTTCCACTTCTTCCATGATCTTGCTGCAGAGGTGCCTTACTCAGTCTCAATCCAGGGACATTAGGTGGTGCTCTCAGCCCGGCCCTGATGAGCAACAGTACACTGGCAACTATTCAAGGTCAGTAGTGTTCCTTTTAATGCATCTCCGTCACACAACTTCAGTTTATGAGCTCTGATTTTGTCTACCAGAGAGCACTGGCTCCTCAGCACTAAGCATAAATTGTGTAGGAGTAAAGGCTTAAAAAAATTAAATGTGCAAATACATTTTGTGGGTCACAGAGATAAGAGCAGGTGCAACTTCAGATAGGGAATCAGAGCCGTATATGATTTAAAGGAGGCATTTAAGATACTGAATATAATCTGGAATTTGTTTTGTTGTCCTTGCCTCATTGGCCTGTATCTTTAGCAGGTTAGAGATTTGCTTTTTATAGCACTTCTATAGTCTGCTTGAGCAGACTTGCACCATTCTGAGGTCTCTAGGAAGGGCAGTTCTGAGCAAATCTTGGTCCTGAATTCATCTTCATGTGTATTAGAAAAGATCCTGCAACAAACATCCTACCTCCTAAAATCCTTATGTAGAACTTGAAATACATAAATCCACATTCGGAAGAGTAGGTATTTATTTGTTTTGGAAGTAGCACAAAGCCATAAGTTACCACTGGCTTCAGCAAGACTTGTTCTGGGTTCATAGTTTGCCACCTGTAAAAACTGGGTGGTACAAGTATCTAAAGAGCTAGGTAAAACCTGTGAGTTCAAATATCCTCTAAACTAGCTGAACAAATCTTGTTCCTAGGTTGCAAGAAAGAACCATTTCATAAAGTGTCACAGATAAATTTAGGAGATCATAATCTAAGGCAGACTGAACGCTGTAGACCCGTGAGAGTAAGTTGTAACAGTGGTTGGTTATGTGTCAACATTTAAAATGTTACGCTCAAGGTTACGTGACCTTCTCCATCTTGTGATAGCTGTCATTTCACATGAACCCTCATCTCAGCCCTTCCCAGTGCAAGTTGCCTGGATGCACAGGCTCTCTGTGGCAGAAAACATAGAGCAGTATTGTGCTAAAAGAGCTGAAGAAAGGCACAGTGGAATTAGTTTAACAGCAAATGAAAGATGTGTTTTAGTGTCTGCAAGATCTTGTCTGATGGTTATTTGGAAAAAACCCAAGCAAGCGATTTAGAGGGCACACATATCAGAGAAAGGCAAATGCAGAGACCCCTTGCTTTTAGGCACATTTTGCATTGTTGCTTACTGCTAATGTTATCTCCTCCCTGCTCAACTTTCCATATTTTTAGCTCTTGCATCCGGTGGCTCTCTTCCAATAACATCACTGGATGCAACTGGAAACTTGGTGTTTGCCAATGCTGGAGGTACCCCTAACATCGTCACTGCCCCTCTGTTCCTGAACCCTCAGAACCTTTCTCTGCTCACCAGCAACCCAGTTAGCTTGGTCTCTGCAGCTGCAGCCTCCGCAGGGGCCTCTGGACCAGTCGCCAGCCTTCACGCCACCTCCACCTCAGCCGAGTCCATCCAGAACTCTCTCCTCACAGTGGCCTCTGCCAGCGGGGCCACGTCCACCACCACTACTGCCTCCAAGGCACAGTGAGCCGGGCTGGGCTCTGCTCCAGCAGCCTGGGTCACTGTGCGCTGGGATCGGCTGCCAGCCCGGTCGATGAACTGAAAATGCCGTGGGCATCCTCTCGCCGTGTTGCTGGGGACAAGAGAGAGAGAGAGAAAGAGAGAGAGAGAGAGAGAGAAGGAAAAAATATTTAAAAAAACGAAACAAAAAAAAATCCAAAAAAAAAAAAGGAGAAAAAAAAAAAACAAAAGCAAAACAGGAAGGATTTAAAGCTGGGACAGACATTTGCCTAATTTTATAATAAACACTGTCTTTTCAGGATCGCTTCATGGATCGGAGAACTTTCTAACCAAAAATGTAAAAAAAAAAAAAAAACCACAAAAAAACTAAAAACCGCAAAAACACAAAAAAAGTGAAAGGACTACTTATCATTTCCAGCAGTCACAATGACAAGTTAAGGTGGGTTATCAGTTCAAACATAGGAAGGGGATTTCTTGGTTTTTTTGGTCTAAATATCTTTCTTTTTTAATTATCATTTTATAGGTCTGTTGTACAGGCCATTATGTCATACAAGGTGTTTATAATCGTATCAATCATGTTGGGGGTTCCTTTCTTAACTGGTACAATTTAGGCAGGCCTGTATTACTGGTGTATCTCTATTATTATTATTATGATTATTATTATTATTATTTTTATATATATAGTTTGGACGCGTTTGTCTTTTGCTCCTGGATTATTTTCAGCGAGCTCCCACACCATGGGGGGAGGGTGGGGGGGTGGAGAGGAAGAATGGAGCACAAATAGACTTTCTATCCTAATCTTCTGGAAATGTTCTGAACAGTTTCCTCATCCTTGAATTTGTCTAATGCCTACTTGTAGGGGTCAGAAGAATTTACGTTCATCATTTGTGCAGGAAGCTCAGTGCAGCAGCAGAGATCATTGTGTGCAAACTTCCAGGCTGGTCTCTGCTTTGTAAGCAGAGGTAGGAATTTGCTCCAAACTGCCATTCTTCTCCTCTCAAATATTTAGACAAAACAGCCAAAGTCTGCTCTTAGCTTTGTGTGCTTGGTTCCTTTTACTTCACAGAGAGCAGGATGTGACCTCCCGAGTGTGGATTGTGTGACAATACTGATGGCTCTTCTGTTCCAGTGATTTCATTTTGCTGTGCAAAAGCACACACAAATATTTAAAAAACATCATGACCCAGGCTAATTGGCAGCATGTAAAGCAGCATCTAGAGTCCTAGATACCCTCTAGGTGAGTTGGTACCGGATCAGAAGGTCACATTCTCCCCATTCATAGCAATATTCCTTTTCTGATGCTTCCAACACTATTTAGAAGAGCTTCCTAGTAAAAAAAAAAAGTGCTTCTGGCTGCAAAAGACAGAAGCCAGGACTATGGGAACAGAAGGTGCCATTGTTAATGCCAACACAGCAGAGCCACTCTGGGGCTTTGCACACGCCGGGCTGATGGCGCGTGGTCTCTGCGCTGCGGGGCCGCTCGCAGCGGGAGCGCGGCAATCGGCCTCTGGCCTGGCACTGCAACTCACTTTTTAAGGTTGATTCTGATCTGTGGAGCAAAGGATATTTTTGTGGATGAGGAAGGAGTAACGAACTGTACAGAAGTTAGACCCGTATATTCTTAAATATACAATCCAGTATCTGAACCAAAAAAGAAAAAAGATTTTTAAAGAGAGAAGACTGGATCACTGCAATGCAGTTCACGTTAAACTTTCCATTCCTGATGGATTTAAAGGTTTCTGCCATGTGTAAAAAACTAAATTACTTTTAGCTAGTGAGGGTATTAGAAGAGTCCCTTTCCCACCCACCCCTTTTTCTTTTGTCACCAGAGTGTCCTAAAATAATGAGCTGATGCAGCTATGTTCGTTTTGTTGGTGATTCAGGGGGATCCTGGAGCTTCTCATCCAAGATCCAGAAGGCAGCAGCTTTAAACTCTACACATGCTTTGGTTTGTGGCCTGAGCATGTGGGAGTTGTGTTTGCACTCAAGTGGCAGAACCCCTTATCTCTCCCCCCACCACCATGGTTTTGCTCTGTTCATCTCTAACTCTCCACCTTCCTGTTTTACTGATATTTAAACCAATTACCCCTAAAACTTCAAAACTAGTGAACTGCAAGCAGGGAAACTAACAAATGTCCGTCCACCGTTTCTTATGTGTTTTTGATTTTTTTATGTTTTATTTTTTTAAAACTAAGCTTGAACCAAAGTCAATTTCTAGCAAGCTGCTGTACTAATGGACTAGTTTGTGTAAGTGCAGTTCAGATGCAGAGAGGCGATAGATGCTACTGACAATTTCTTTTTCATTTGTCTTTTGTTTTTATTAATTTTATATAAAAGTTGCTGCTTGTTTTTAATCTTTTTTTTTTTTTTTGGTTGGTAATTTGTGTTATCCTTGGGGCAGACTCTTAACTTGATTTTAATTTGTTTTCTTTTATTTGATGTGTAAATAGAATGGCAATGTCAGAGGATTGTTAATCCAAGAGGTCTCACCTTTATCCCCCCAGTATGGATGAATCTCTGTATTTTTGATATGTCTCTAGGTCTTCAGGCTGTGCAGGAGACTTTTAGGGCTATGAATAATACTGCAAAAATGGCAGTGGCCCACAGTAAAAGCTTCAGAGCAGCAACAGGTACAGCTGGGTGAGCTTCAGGGAGGTAGGGAAAAAGTAGAAGAGAAGATGCTGGTACCCACTGTGCTGGTCTGGAGGCCACAGCACGGTCTGTAGTTTCTACCAAAGGAATGCAAGTCCTTGGACTTGTTTTGGGTGAAGTAAGAGGATGGGGAAAACCGCAGCTGTAGCGTTTGTTCCTGACTCTGAAAGTCCCTGCTTACTTTCACGCCTGTGCAAAAGTACAATTTATCAGGAAGCTTTTTTTGGTAGGGGAGGGACCACTGGGCTCGTCTCTGGTGGATCCCCTCCTCCCCAAGGGTTTTGTGGTGGGGTGGGGGGCGTGGTCCTTGCAGATATCTAGGAAACACAAAGAAAGGTGGGCCTTAAATCAGTGGAAAATCCTCTCTCCACAGTTCCAGGAGACTGTGCCATTAGCTGTCTGAATGAGTTTTCATGTCCCATTCTTGCTGGTTTGTGGTTGGGAGAGGGTCTTGTTGAGTACATATCTGGAACACTAATGCAGCTTGGATGGTTTATTTATTATAAAAATCTGCTTTTTTTCCTGACTACCTTTGCATTGGTCACATGGCTTTGGTGTGAGCACCTTATACCCCTTTCTTTACCCTCCTCTTCTCTACCCCATCACCCTGTCTGGGGCCCAGATTCCAGGGAATTTCTTAGCGAGTTTTTTTCTGAGAGAAACTGGAAACTCAGCGTAGCCACATATCCAAAAAAGCTTGTTTTTTTTTTTTTCTTTTGCAGAAACTGACATAATACTCAAACAGCACATATCCCATAGCATCCATTGCCAGTGTGCTCTGATTCATTGTCCCCTAAAACATCCCTGTGAGTGACTGACTGACTGTTGTTCCTGGAGCCTACCTTTCGTCCCTATCAGTGTTTTTCCTCGTGGATGCTGGCTACCTCCAGTGTTTAGGTGAAAGACAGAAATCAGACTGGCAGTGGGTGTACATCTGCCAAGTTAGAGTGCATGTACTCCTTCAGAGAATGAAAACAATATGAGATCATGTACCAGAATTTAGCAGAAGTTTCTTTTTTAAATCATCGTCATGCTGGCAGCAGAAATTGATGCATCTGGAAAGAAACAATAACAATTGTGTACAGACCCAGTAAATATGATCACAGGAAGTTTGGTGGTGTGTTAGAAAAGGATAATAGCATCTCTTTTTCAGACTTCCATGTCTCTGTATTTAAAAGTAGCCACATATCCAAAAAAGCTTGGTTTTTTTTTTTTTTTTTTTGCAGAAACTGACATAATACTCAAACAGCACATATCCCATAGCATCCATTGCCAGTGTGCTCTGATTCATTGTCCCCTAAAACATCCCTGTGAGTGACTGACTGACTGTTGTTCCTGGAGCCTACCTTTCGTCCCTATCAGTGTTTTTCCTCGTGGATGCTGGCTACCTCCAGTGTTTAGGTGAAAGACAGAAATCAGACTGGCAGTGGGTGTACATCTGCCAAGTTAGAGTGCATGTACTCCTTCAGAGAATGAAAACAATATGAGATCATGTACCAGAATTTAGCAGAAGTTTCTTTTTTAAATCATCGTCATGCTGGCAGCAGAAATTGATGCATCTGGAAAGAAACAATAACAATTGTGTACAGACCCAGTAAATATGATCACAGGAAGTTTGGTGGTGTGTTAGAAAAGGATAATAGCATCTCTTTTTCAGACTTCCATGTCTCTGTATTTAAAGGTGAGAGGGTTGCTTTTCATAGTTGCAAGCATGTCACAGTACCTAGGCAAGAAAAGATAAGGTGAAAAGCTCTCCCTGCAGACAGGGGTAGTTCAAAAAGCAAGAGATTTCCAGGAACACAAACACAGATATGCCCGGAAGGTCAAAAACAATTTAGAGAATGGCTTCAGGAGTTGGTCTTGTACCTTGGTGATGACATTTTTTTCTGATCTTAAGAAAAACATGCTTTGCTTTAGCACACTTTGGCTTTAGCACACTTGGTCTCCTTAGAACCCACTCTCCACAGTCACCATGGAAGGATTCACAAACAGCCCAAAGAAAGTACACACAGGTGTGGCTGCTTACAATTGTTGCATCTGCTTAGATTTCCTACAGAGCATTTATTTTGTTTCTTGTGTTGCTCTACAACACCTGTTAGTTGAAGTACGTTTTTATCAATCACTGTGAGGTGTGGATGTGACATCTCTTAGAAGTGTGACCTAATGTTCAAATGCCACCTCTGTAAGCCTCACACGGGGTGCTTTGACACATTTCTGCAGTAGAGTTAGTGAAGGACACAGGAGAGTTAATTCCTTAACTCTGTGCACATTCCTGCAAAGCAGCGTTCCTTAAAATGGGAATTCCCTCTTTTTTTGTTGTTGTTGCAAATGGAGCAGCACAACCATTACAGCTGGAGCCATACCACAGATACTAAACCAAAGCAACATCTAATTTACCTTAAATATTAAGTCGTATTTTCTTAGCTAAAGAAATATATAAAGATACAAAATTATCTTAAAGAGGCAGGTAGCTTCTCATGGTCATTAGAGTGTTTTAGGACAGATAAAATAATGCATGGTCCAAACTTTCAATGATTCTTGGTTTTAAACTGGAAGTTGAAAATGTAGATGTTTTTATTGCCACATTAACTTTACAGAGAGTCACTATTCCCTATTCCTGTTCTGCCTGAAATGCTTAAATGCTGTTTCTCCACACCCTGTACCCCAGCAGGGCCTGTCTGTCCCTGTTGGATGTTGCCTAGGGTGGAGTATTACCAAAGGAATAAGCTGGCCTGCTGCTCCCCACTGCATTTATGGTTGTCAGTTCTCACACAGCCAACTCAAATCCCTTTCTATTTTTGCAACCAGGACATCTGCCCTCTCCCTCCCAAACTACTATAGCAATATGGAATTCAAGATACCTACCTTGCACATGTCTTGCCCTTCTCACTCATTAAATCTCTTGTTGCTGCTTGTGAGTTTCTCTCTTCTTTCCAGAGGGGAGTCCCCTAAAATACATTGAAGATATTTGACAGGGAAGATTTTGTCAAGAGGTTGTTGGCTCACAATTCACAGTTTCTTAAGATGCTCATATCTTTGTCTCCACGATGTGAGTGGTACCTGGTTCCCTCTGTGCCAGTGCAAGCAGTTTCAGTGCTTTTGGAACGATGAAAAGCAATTCCTCTATTTGCATATCTTCACACATGGACACAGTAATGCACGGAAAAAACCTTGATTTTTTTCAGCTTATCTGTCTGCATTTGATCTGTCTGCCACTTCTCCCAGGATACTCCTAGTGGGGACATGCTCTGAATTTTTACCCCTGTTGGGATGCTGTTAGGAGGGTGTTAGTGAGATTGCACTGAAATTACAAATAGTTTAACTGTGGGAGAAGAGGCATCTTTTACTCACGTAGGCAAATAAGGTCAGCATGTAGAACGTATCAGGTACTTCTTTTCTGACCAAATTCCTGAACATGGAGCAGCTACTGAGCTTTGTCTTGGGGCTGCTTTTAGGTCCATCAGTGATGCCCTGCTAAGAACCGTCCATAACTGGAATAATCTGGGCCCCCTTTCTCCCTTCCTGTCTCTGTCCCTCTGCCTCTTTCCCTCCTTGCTCCTTCCCCGTCTTCCCTCAGCGAAAGGTAGCACCATACAGCTCTGAGAACAATACTTGTGGGTAGCAGCTGGCTTCTGGCACCTTCATAAAATACCTCAGCATAGCTTAGCATTGTCGCAGAACTGGTTTTAAACTGAAAAAATCAGAAGAGAAAAGCAAACTTTATAAATAGTGGAGATAATTCTAGCTGTAGAGTTTAGTTGAACTGATGGTTTATTATGATTGATAAACATGATTATGCTGTATGTATTTGAGATCCTGTTTATAGGTTACAACTTTATAGGGTCGGGTGGGGGTGGGTGGATGTTGGGGGCAGAGAAGGGGGTTTGACTGTGTTAGAAGGAAAATGTTTGCTCATAAATTTTTTTCCTTGTATCTGTCTTGCCAAAGGAAACATTTTGTCGCTCCTGGGTTTGGGATTGTTGTTTGGTTGGTTTATCTGTGGTCTAATCTGCAGCACAGCACGTGGTGGCATGCAGGTTACTGATGGGGTTGCTGTTCAGGGTCCTTTCGAGTGTGCGCACACTTCCCTCCCTCTTGGCCTTTCCTTGCCCCTCGCTGGGATCTGAAGATGAGGCAACAAATATCGAGGAGGCTCGAGGGAGAGATGGCTGTACTGGGCTAGGATCGACCTCGGGGCTGTAAATCCGTTTCAGTTGAGTTGAGTTGCTCCAGAGCTGAACTGGGTCCGCTGTGTTTAACTCCAGGGAGGGACAAGAATGGTTGTCGCATCTTAATCTATCTGGGAGAGCAAAAGTGAAACAGGTTCCTTTTATCCCCCTTGTCTTGTTACTGAATGTAGGGCTTGTAGTGCTTGATAATAGGTGGAAAACTTTTTAAACACTTCCTTTTCTAATAGCAATGCTAATCCTGTCTAGACCAAAAACTATGAAAGAAAAAACCAAACAGAGAGGTGAAAGCTAACCTACTCCTAACACCTGGCTGGTCTGCCTGAAAGGGTTGAAATACTGTGAGACGGCTGTGGGAGAGGAGCTTTGAGGTGTTGTTGGCGAGGGACCAGGTCGTTCTCCTGGCCGATGTCTCGGTGTTGCGGTGGCAGTAGCAGAGGAGCGAGTGGTTCTTGCCTTGGGGGGTGTTGCAGCCAGCTCCGTGTGGGCTCCAAGGCTCCCTGCCCGTTTCCCCCGAGGCTGCTGGAGCGGGGGAAGAGGGCAGGGTGTGCGTGGGTGGGTGTGTGTGCGAGTGCGTGTGAGCGCCAGCCGGCGCCGGCTGCGTGCGGGAGCGAGAGCTGGGTTTCTAAAGGAGCTCGACTCCACTGGGGAGGCAGAATTCCCAGTGGCCTCGTAGGGAACCAAAGGCACTGATAAGATGTCAGCTCTGCTGTTCTCAGAGCGGGTAAGAGGAAAAGCTGGGTGGGGGTTTTTTGAGCTTTGGGTCAGTGTCCCTTCCTCTAAGGACCTCATCTCTTGCGGGTACTCCCACCTTTTCTGCATGGAGTTGCATCGGCTCTGTGAAGACAAACGGTGTCTGGGGTTTGCCCAGTGCTGCAGGTCTTAGGCTGATGTTGGGATACAGTCAGGGAAAACTGTTTCTTTCCTTCAGATGTGGAAGCAGTGTAGTCCAAGGTCAGAGTCTGTTCAGCAGCTTCTGCAGATGGTCTTTCTCTTAAGGGAGGGACCTTGAAGACTCCTTTCTTTGCTCCCCAAAGTAGCCTTGTACATGTTCATGTGTCGTGCTATTGGGCTGAGCTGTTTTATCAGTGAACTTGGTGAGCTCTTGTGAAGAAAGGGAGGGAGGAAGGGGGAGAGCGGGTTGTCCAGCTACTCTTCCTCCGGACACCAATCGGGTTGCAGAACTTCACTGAAAGCTTTACTAATAGAATTGTTGTTCTGACATTATGTAAAAGTGGTATTAATATTGTGTGACTTTTCAAAGAGCTAGTTAGATTTATAGATAGGTAATAGGGATATTGAAGAAATGACTTCTCAAAGAAAAGAGCACTTGGAACAAAAGAAGTGGAAAACAAGGTGTGCTTTATGGAAAACAAATCTGAGGAAGGAAATGAAACAGCTTGTGGGAGGCGAGGGAAGATGATACCTTTGGCGTTCCTTAGTGCTGCTGAGGCTCAGCCCCAGAACTGGAACATACCCCCTCTGCCTTATTTCATCTCTCTACCAAACAGGACATTGTCTAGTAGCTCATACCAAAATGCTGATCTGTCTTAAAAAACTGTGTCGGTCTGCTGGGGAATATTCTCCGGCAGAGCTTTACATAATACCGTAAGATACTTAATTTATCACGTTAGCTTCCCCTTCCCTCCCAAAATTGTCTTATCTGTTGTAGGCCCCACTTCAGGATTCACACTGCCTTTGGGGAATTCTGTGGCAGCAGCTACAGAGGCCCTTTTCCCTGAATGTCCTAACTTCGTGTGCGTTCCAAGCCGGCACGTTGCGGTGCTATAAAACCCTGCAATTATTTAACAGTAGGAATCCTAAGCCCTTAGGGAATGGCATGCCAAGGGGCAACTCGTGGAGATCGCACAACCCCCTTGAGAAACGATTTGGGAACAAGAGCACCCGTGACAGTGTCCTGAGAACAAGGCAGTTGAGACAAAACCTTTAGTTCTTCCCCCATTCACTCTCCACGTGTCGGCCTCTGTGACCCTGGTGCTCCCTGCGCCTGAGCGAGTCCGAGGGGAAAACGCAAAGAGAAAGACTTGGAGCTCAGGGCCGCTGGCCGCGAGTTCCCGGGAAGCCGGGCTGCGCCTCCCCGCAGCGCGGGGAAGGGAAGGCAGCGCTGCGGGGCCGCTCGGGGAGGGCTGGAGCAGCACCGGCCCCGTGCGCCCAGGGCCCGGGCAGGAGCTCCTTCGTCCCCGCCAGTGCCGTTGTTCCATTTCCTTCCTCTGTGGTAGTATCTAAGGCTAGGTGTGAGTAGGTGTGGGGTGTTTATCCGCCACAGGTACAGGAGCTGTCGTATACCTCATTTCTAACTCGTAACTGAGTAACTTGCTTTAACTTTCTCCAAACCCCACAGAGTTGCCAAGTCTGCCCTCCCTCCTTTGATTAACACTGAACTCTGGCCTATAGCACCCCGTGACCTGCAACCTGGGGAGTGACCCCCTAACGCCTCTGAATGTCGCTGCTTAAAAGCTACTGCAAAGTGAGGGCAAATTGCAATCTTATCTTATTTCCTTTGGTTACAAGGGGTCCTCTTGATTAGTCTGTGAATATCCACCCCCTCCCCTCCACTCTCCATGGAAAAGGTCCACCCACGCTGCCTTTTCCCATCCCAGAGCCACGCTGAGCTCCAGGGCCTGGAGGCACTCTCAGCCCAGTGCTGCATACATGCTACTCACTTTTAACATGACCAAAAAAACAAAAAAAACAAAAAAAAAAAGGAAAAAAAATAGAAATCTCCAAATACTTAATTTTCTTCTTTATTATTTGACAATCCTGTATCCCTTCCCCACTCCCCAACTGGCCAGAAGCTGCATCCTTAACCCGGTCCATCTTTATTTGAATGTAGTTCCCCTACCCCCATGGGAAAGAGAAGCTTTGTCAGGTCACGGTGGCTGCTATAAGTCGGGAGGGGGCGGTTTCTTTGTTTTGTTTTGTTCTTTTAAAATTTCCAGCCAAAACCAAAGATTTCCTAATGATTGTATAAACTCAAAACAAACAAACAAACCAAAGACAAAGGGCGTCTTCAGCACCAAGCCCACCTGTGAGGCCGGGGCTGGCCGGGCCGGGGTCGCTGCCGGCCTGGGGGCCAGCCCGGGGCTCCAGAACTCCCCGGGCAGCAACTCCCGGCCCAGGGTGAAATCTGGGGCACAGGCGCTGGGAAGGGAGCCGGGGCTTCGCAGGTGGGTTGAGGAGCTGAAGACTTGGGTGCAGGATTGGCTGCTCTGCTGGGTGCTTTAACCCTCTGGGGGCTGGGTGATGTTGATTAATACACGCTGAGGTGCACTTCTGAGCTTCCCCCCCCTTCACTGCTTGGAAGAGGCTGTCCTGTTGTGAGAAATCCCTGAAAGAAGAAGAAGCAGCTTTTCATTTCTCCTCTAGTTCCTTTTTTCTAGATTTCTTTTATTTTTGCAGCACCACTGTGCAACTATGCATTGTATTTCTCAACCTTTTATGCTAGGTAGATGCCTGTGACTTTTTAACTTTTGGGGGGGGATTGCAAATGGAGGAACTTTTTACATGGATCTTTTTAATCTCAGTTGATTGGGGGGTGTTTGGTTCTAGGGTCAGACAAGCTCTATCCCAAAGCAAAATCCAAATGTTAATATTATTAGCCTGATGCAGATACCAAAGATAATTTCTTTCCTGCAGAACCTTAGACTTGTGTATTAAGTACGATTACCCAGCACTTGCATTAGTCTAACCTCAGTAATTCCAAAGCTTAGATGTATATTTTGGTATATTTCTGGGATATTAAAAAATTGTCGTTTAAATTCTTGTTTGTTTCAGTGTAATGCTCTTAAAGTCATAGCATGGAGAATACTGAACTTGTCCTATTCTTAGTAGTTTGAAATAATAGTATTTTTGTATGTTTTGGGTGTGTCTATGTATGTATTAACATAACGGTTTTCACTGCCTAGGTGTTCATAAATAATAATAAAAGAAAAACCAACTACAAAGGGTTTTTAAACTGTACATAATATTCCGTGAGGAATTTCCACCAGATCGCCAATTTGGATTGCATTTTCACTGATGGCCGCTCCCAACTGGGATTCTTTCTTTCTTTTTAAAGAGACAGCATGTTCTTTTGTTTTCCCCACTGACCTGAGGTTCTTTCTCAGTGCAAAGGGGGTTTCACTGTTTTTAAGGGGTGGGCCAAAGAGGAAGTAGCTTAAATTTTGTTTGTAAAAAAGTATTTAACGTGTTAGTTTGAAAACTACCCCTTTGTATGAAGAATTGGGAGTGGAAAACCAAGCCCTTTCTTCTAAATCAGATCATAATTTTCAAAGAAATGAGGATTTGTGAATGTCTGTAGTGTCTGGGCAGTCCCTTTTTGCTTTTTTTCTAAATAAGACAAGTTTTTGGTCCTAATGGTTTCACTGCTCTGTGCAACTGCCTGCTTACACTGGCTGGGAGGTTTTTTTTCTCTTGGCCTTCCTCATACACTGCATTTATACACTTGAGGTCAGCAGAACACTTGAAATCAAGGGCCATTATGGGAGTACCCTACCCAAACGCAACCCAAGCTTTTCTTGAGACTGAAATGTGAGAGTCCCACACATTTCAAAACCTTGCTGATCACACTAAGGGTGAGGAGGAAGGCGAAATGCTGTCTCTTTAAAGATGCCCTTTATTATTATTATATTATTATTATTATTATTTTCCCAGTGGTTGCCTACAGATAGCTGTAGGCATTGAGAGATTGTGTAGATTACAGTAAATCAGAATGAAAAGGTAGATTTTGTGTAGATGCATTTGTCTGCTGTAATTTTTTATATATATTAAACTTACTGTAATTGTACAGTTCATTTCTGTTGTAAACATCATTAAACCATTTTCCAAGTGTTTTAACATGTATGCACTTGTTTGTAGTTTTTAAATGTGTCAGGGGAAGCCGATTCCCCTTCCCCTGTGCATCAAAGTGGGCCAGAAGATTGATCTGTGGTGCCCTTTGTCTTGTCAGACTGGAGGAGAGCCCGGGTTTTATGCACTCTGCTTGAAGCTTTTGTTCTAATTCTGTATTTATCAGCTCCTCTCCCAAAAGCAGAAACAGCTTCAGTCGCTTCCTGAAGACAAAGAGGAGACCCAGCTCAACCCCATGGTGAGTGGCCCCAAAACCAGTGCTGGATGCTTTTTGACATCAAGGTATCCATTGACACATAAAGAGCATAAAGGTGATTTCCCCCCCAAAAACTTAATTCCTATTGTTTGGTGGTTGGTATTCACGCTGCCAAAGCTTCTGACTTCTGCGTCTTGCAGATACAGTTATGGTGATTTAAAAAGAGAAAGCTGTTTTCAGCACTCTTTGTTCTTGCAAAAGTGTGCTGAAAATCGAGTGTTTTGCAGCATAACTTTACTGTAATTTTCAGCTCAGCTGTCTCAGTTATCACCCAGTTCTCTCAATTTTTCTTGTCACTGCAGAGAACAGTAAAGGATCTAGGAAATTTTTTTTTTGCGAGAAGCATTCATTACCATGTCTCAGTTTACTTTTTTTTTTGCTTTAATTTATTGCAAATATTCTTTAAAAGCTACAAGCACCTACTGCAGGTACAGTTTTACTGCTTAAAGAAGTAAAACTGCCTTGGAACTTGCATAGCACCCATTTCAGCAAGGTTTTCTGCTGCTGACCCACCCAGTCCCTGGAAAGAAGACATGACCTCATTTGGCCAGCAGAGCAGCAGCTCTTGTTCCCACAGCCTTGCTTTAGCTCTGCTTCTTCTGTGAGGACTGGTGAGACGGCTTGGTCAGCTCCTGAGTCGAGGTGAAACACCCCTGATGTTGCTGGGCTGGATTTGTCCTTGCTGAATTCCTCCAGGCTTCCCTGTGCAGCCTTGTGAGGCACGGGCAAAACTGAGGCTGCAGCAGCAGGACGTGTGTCCCTTTGATTCCTGGCTTTGGGGCATTTTCCCATCAGCCCATCCCAGCTGCTGGGACGTGTGTAGGAGCTCCTGCTGGAATCCTGTCCTCCTCAGCTTCCCTGGGAGATGGTGCTGCTGGGTGCAGGCTGGTTCAGATGGGCTGGATGCCTCAGGTAAGGAGCTCGTGCCATTCCCACTGCTGCTCCCTACACACACATGGGGCTGTGGCACTATTTTATTAATTCATCAAAAACACATGACATTATTGAACTGGTGCCTCCTTGGAGTGATACCTGCACCTTTTAGAGGCAGCCTCATGAGAGACTGGGTTGGAAACTGCATTTATGTTGGGTTTTGTACAGTTTGTTGTCTGGAAGTGATCATAGGGGAACCCATCTCCTTGTTTTCTTTGTTTTTCTGCCTTCAGAGAAGTCTCTCACTCAGCTTACCTGGCTCATATTTATGGATGAGTGGCAGTGCCATTGCTTGATCTTTTTTTGGATATTGGTGCTCATTTTCTTCCTACTGGAAAGTTGGCATTCAGCCTCTCTGCTTCACTACTGTAACATCATGTCACTCTTTATAATTAAAGAAAAAAGTTGCCCTCCACTGAAGCAGATTTTTAAAGGCAAATTTAAAGCAAAAAGGGTGAAATACTCTTAAGATAAATACTACAGGAAGTAATACAGTAAATCTTTGCAAATTGTTTAAATGCAATGCAGCCATAATTCCATGTCTTAATACTCTGGAAGACAAGGAAGACCTATGGAAATAGCTGTGTTTGTTAGAAGGCATTGTCTGGTACCCACAACACAAACCTGACCCAAAAAAAAAAAATCAGCCTAATACCCACTATAATTGGAAACAACTTTACAGATATGTACATTCTAACAGCAGAAGCAGTTACATAATTCAGGAGGAGAGAAGGAAAAGGCCAGGTCCAGATTCTGTGCACCAACCCTAGGCGGTTCTTGCACACACAAAACACACAGTGCTTGTGTTGGATGGAAAAGGCTTTCCCCCTCTCCTCCCCAAAGCAGGTGGGCATCTCTCACTCCTGCCCATCCCCTCTGAGGCTCCCACTTAGCGGGGGGGCAAAGGCTGCATTTGGAGAGCATCATAAGTGTCCTTGGTTGCTGCACTGAGCCCCTGAAAAAGAGAAAACCAGAAAAACAGGTGAGGGATGAGCGTGAGTGCTTACTTCTTCCCGGCTGACTGGCAGCAGCAGGATGGCAGGGGCTCAGTCAGGAGTGTAAGTCTGATTTTTTTCCCCCTACAGAGATTTTTACTCTTGAATGACTTTATAGTCTTTGTGTGGTGCAAATAGCTATTACTTACCTGAAGGCAAGGTACATCCTGAATAATGGTTATGAAGACACGACTACAGCAAATCATCCTAACTGCTCCTGGAGATCTTTGGAGCATTTTATTTGTGTGTTATTAAGAGCTAACTGATGCTAGAACGAGCATCGATAATGAAATGAACAGACATCAAATCATGAACTTTGTTCTCTGGCCTTCTCCTCTTCGATTTGGAAGGGAAATCAGGTGCATCAGAAAGCATCCCCTGACAGCCCTTCCAGTGATGCCCAGTCCTTTCCCTGGCAGCCTGCTCGGGTGAGGCAGCTGTGCCCTGTGTTGTGGATCCCAGAGCAGGGGTAGCTGGGGCTTCCAAGAGCGAGGAGTTAGTGTGACACCTGGTGCCTGCTTGGGAAACTTCCTTTCACTTCTCTGTGCCTCCCCGACAGTGCCGTTGGATATCCCACCGCAGGTGAGGGGAGCAGCTGTGGGAGGTGGTGCCTACCTGGTAGAGACCTTCATTGCCTTTGCCTCGCCGCCTCTGCTGCTTTGGGAAAATAAAACAAGCATAGACTGATTAATGGGTGCTTTCCCGATTATGCAAAAAGAAGAAGCCCCTGAGTTCCCCCATGCTGTGCTGAGGGTGCACAGGATGCACCAGCTGTGCATGGCCTGGACTCTGCTCTGCACAGGAAAGCACCTGGTAAGTCTGGACCAGCCCAGACAGGCTGCAAGGGCTGCTCAGGAGAAAATAGAGGGGATAGGAAATAAAAACAAATCGGTTACATTTGCTGACATATTTTCCTGTCATACTGTTAGAATGTTGCTATTTCTTTGATTCACTGTATGTATAGAGATTTGGCAGCATTTCTGTAGACACTGGTTATTTAGTATTAGATTGTATCACAAATGTGTCAAGGAGTAGTGCTTGTTACAGTTAAAGTTGCAGCAAGCTATTAAATGATCATATATTTGGCATGGGACAAGGGCTTTGGTGTTCTTGTCCCTCCACAAACAGAAACATTCAAAAAACACAGTGAAACTTCATAGCCCCATAGCTCATAGACGCAGCTTGACTCCTCTGGCAGAGGAGCATTAGAATAAAAAAGGGGAAGAGATTAAATGTTGGTATTGCTTCAGCATTTCTCAACACTAAACTTTGTTTTGAAATGCCCCTTTTTGTGTGTCAGGAGGAACTAAAAGGTTTTATATATATATATATATATATATATAATGACACTTTGACATAAAATAGAACCTGTGTAGGTCAGAGCAATTTTTCATTTTGCCATAAACAAGTGTCCCCAGATGGTTTGTTTCTGACACAAGCCCTCCTCCCCCAGCAGTTTGTGCACAGAGCTAAAAACTCTCCCTCTGCTGTAGCTGGGGATGTGACTGATGTGTGCCTGCTTAAACATTTGAAGGAGGACATTTTCCCTGTTCCTTGTCTAAAGGCAGGCACAAGGAGAGGCTGGCACTTGCTCTCCTGATCCTGGAACACCAGCCAGTCTCAGCAGCCCGTGGAGGGGAAACCATAAACCGGCAGCTCCAAACTGCTCTGGAGAAACATGCCCCAAAATCTTCCAATGCTGCTGGACCATTGCAGCACTTGGCACCAGACCTTCCTTCAGCTGTTCTCACCCATCTCACGCCCTCAGCCCCCCCAGCCAGGGCAGCTGTCAGGGGTTTTCTGGCCAAAAGCTGAAATATTTTCTGTTGCCATGTTTTCACCAGGCAGGAAAGTAAGACTCACCTCTCCCTTCATTCCAATCTCACTGTATGCCTCACCCATCTTGTCCTTCTGCAGTGACTGCAGGCAGAGAGGGGGAAAGAGTCAGTGACAACAGAAAAACCAAGGCAGCCCCTGGGTAGCCACATTTAAAACCAGCTGAACTGAGTGTCTCATTCAATAGCAGTAAAGGTCTTGGAAACAAGCTCATTCCTCAAGCACCAAAGACCAAGTTAAGACATGAGAATTAATGTTCCTGTATCTGTGCTTTGGAACACCGACCACCACATTTAGCCAGAGTCAAATCAACTCTATCGAGAGGTTCCCAAGCAGCCCCTCTTGGATGCACTGGTGTTTGGCCTTTGCCAGAGAGCAGGCACAGGGGCTGGGGTCCATGCACAGGAAATACTGCAGCAGCAATGGGATCAAGGTTGGTTAGTCACTAGCATTAGGCATTTGCAGGTATCTTGATCCAAGTTCTTTTCCACATGTCCCCAGTGTTTTGCTCCTGTCACTCAGAAGTGAGCAGAAATTTTCAAGCAAAAACAGACGGTCTGGGGGGGAGAGGAAGGAAAGGGAAGTCTTGAAAAGCAGCTGTTGAGTTTTGAACCAGAGCTGAAATTGGGTCACAGGGGGGAAAGTCTTGTATGGAACAGAATCTCCTGTTCCCAACCATCCCTCCCTCTCTGCTCCCTCCAGAGTGCTCTACTCACAGTGTAGACAGTGTCCTGAGGGTTCTTTCTCCTCTGCTGTAAAACAGAAGAAAAAAGTTGCCCATACATTGCACTGCCAGCATCCCCCAGCACCTTGTATGTGCTTATGCATTTGCTCCATGGCACAGCTGTGGCTCTATGGACTTTCCCTGCCCATTCCAGTCCATCCTGCCTCCACCCCTAAGGCTCTGTTCAGACAGCTTTTTCTGGGCAAAATTAATTTCACTGTGGCAATTGGTAAAACTTAGGTTTTTTCTGCTCCCCCCCTACAGCTGTCACCTGCTGATGCAGGAGGTTTTCCCTCCCTTTTCCTTTGAAAGGGATGGGCTGTGCAGCAGAAAGAGTTGTTTTGGCTGCTGCTCTGCTTTGTGGGCGCTTGTTTGATGGCATCAGACACAGCGAGCTCTGTGAAACACCCACGGCTGCCGGGCCTCCTCCGCATCCGCCCCGGGCCCGGGTGTCACTTCCCAGCCCCGCGAGGGGACAGAGATCAAAGGGGAGGGGGAGCTTCGCTCCTGCCCCCAGCGCCGCCCGGGTTACGACACAAATCGCGTCGTTCCCTCCCCAGGAAGGCGCTGGGGTGGCTGCCTGTGTGAGCAGCGCCGTGACACGGCGTGGGAGGCACCAGATCAAAGGACAGAGGTGCACATGTGCGTGGAGGTTACCTGGTGTCTCCCGCCCAGCTCGGGGTCTGCTCCTCGCTTTCCTCCCAGCACATCGTAATCGTCTCTGTGCGAGCGGGAGAGTTTCTGGAACGGGAGAGCAAAAGCACCGGGTGGACACCGTGATAATGAGATAATAATAGATCTTAACTCAGAAAAGAAGGGGATGCCAGCTCAGCTCACAAGGACTATCACTGAACTAGAAATTCTTTATACTCCCTAATGCAACTGTCAACAACTGTGTCTACATTTAAGCCATGGAAATGACACAAAACTGCAAGCTGTTGCATCAAGAACCTTTCCTAAGTGGAAATGAGTTGAAAACTAGAGAGCACGAGGGGGAGGGACTCTCACTTTCCTGCTTTCTCTCCCACTGGACAGCAAAGATCCATGAGCTTAATTTTTCTTGCAGAGCTGCTCATCTAAATTTGCATCAAGGAGCTACAGAAATTTTATGCCCAACACAATTCTTAGCTGGAAAAGGTTACCTTGGACAAGGGCAAAGGAGAGATTTCAGGTCAAACTAACACAGCTGACAGAGTGACAGTACTTGAAAAGTGATGGGCTACACTTAAACTGCAAAGAAATTGCATTAGTGTTCAGACATTACAGAGTTAAACAGAACTCTTCACAGGATGTGGCTATGGTCAAAAGCGTGAGAAAAAAAAATTAAAAGACAGCTAGACATAGCAAAAATAGCTAGAGTTTAATGCTGCCATGAGTGGGCAATTCAGTGAGGAGGCTCAGACAGGATCTTGTCTTTGTCCTCTTTCACTGCCTAAAGATGCTGCCCATGGTCAGGGCACAGGACAAGGCACTTCTCTGGTATCATCTGGTACAAGAGGGCTTGCTGTGGGGCAACTGGAAAGCTTGGGAATGGAGGCACAGGGGCTGTGGTTGCTGAGGCTCCACACACTTGGGAGTGGAAGAGCTGCAGGTGCAGTCAGCTCCACAGCATTCCTTGGCATTTGCCCTTTGCCCAGCCCACATCAAGCAGCAGCAGCAACAGGGGCAGTGGCTGCACACACCCCCAGAGCTCTCACAGGCCTGTTTGTTCCATGGGGCAACACAACAAACAGCCTGGGCTCCTGCCAACCTGGAACTCAGTGGGCCAAATCAGGAACCAACAGCCCAAAGAGCTCTCCAGCATCTGGCCAGGGTGGTGACACCAGAAGCTGTCCCTGCGAGGTTTTACCTTTCCTCCTTACAGCTGTCATGCTGCTCACATCTACAGCCCACTCATTAGCGGCTCATCCAAAGCTTTTCTGAGCAGCAGCCAGTTCACTGTCTCTGTGCCCCAAAAGGTCTGTCTGGATGGTGGATCAGAGAACAAAGACCAGCAGTTACTCACGTTGTACACATCATCCTGGCCTGCTCGCAGCTGTGGTTCAGAGGCTTGGCTGAGCTGGAAGAGAGACCATTCCATGAGCAGAGACACAGTGGCTCCCCTCAGTCCTCCCATTCCCTCTCTCCTACCAGTTACTCTTATCAGAAACAGGGCAACCTGTAGCCATGATATTTTATGAAACTTTCTCGTCCCGGGAGCCCCCGTCGGACCGACCACAGCAACCCACAAACTGTGTGGCTGCAGGCAATGCAAACCCCTGCTGCAGCAGCACTTTTATCCACACAGCAGCCTGTCCTCAGCAGCCAAGTCACTTTATTTCACATAACACCAGCTCACAAACATTTGAGTTTGTTCCCTACACACCTGCCCTCCTCTGATTTTGTCTCTCCATTCTCTTCCTGTCATAATCCTGTGCCTCCCTGGGACTTTGGTCCTGCAGCTGCTTGCAGAGTTATTGGGCTTCCTGCAGGGAATCCTGCATCCCTCAGGAGCAGCACATGGCTTGCAGGGCGCCACCCCAATAAGTTGATGTGAGTGGCAGTTAACAAAGAGGTAAAGGATTATCCCTTCTGTAGCTGCTCTTTGGCTCAGCTGCTCACAATTCTTACAAGAAATCAATTGCTAAGCCAAAATTTCAGGTAAAGAGGGCAGTTTTGGATCAATGAGAGCAGCTGCTTTGTGTTGTAGTGTTTAAACAGGAACCCTGTCAAACTATATTCTGTATTGATTTACTCTTTTTGAGTTATTATCCCATTCAATTCTTTATTAAAAGTAACCTTCTAGCTCAGTTTATATTTAGGCATAGAATCATGTTTGTAGCAAATACACAAGTCCTCTCCTGTGGATGTTTGGGTTGTTGTATCATCACACTCATAGTATCAAAGATGTCTGAATTGAGACATTTTAATACATCCTTCACAAGCTTACCATTTTCCCTGTATTTTCTGTGTATCCCCTCCTCTCTTTCCAATGATAAATCAGGAGAAAAAAAATCCACATTACTCTTGACCAGTCACTTCCCATCTACAAAATCCAGAATCTCTGATGTATCCATAAGTGTAACATCAAAACACTCTCATATACTCTCATATACTCTCATATACTCATTCCCCTCTCCATTATTTGGAAAGAACTGCTTTAGGTTGCTCAAGTGGACACCATAAACAGAGGGGGAAAAAGAAAAATGAGAGAGAGAAAGAAAGCAAAAGAACAGAAAGGTCTCATTCTAAGAGATGGTTCCCCTCCACTCCCACTTTCCAGCCCAGCTCAGCTACCTTACACCACCAAATCCAAATGCTTCTGTGTTGGGTTGGACTGACCTTTGCCTTCACAAAAAGGGCTGTCATGATCACTGCATAAATGAAGAGGAATCCATCCAGCACATAGCAGAGCCTGGGATCTGTGAGGCCAAGAACTGATGCAGCATCTGCACAAAAAGATCAGATACATCAGCAAACAAAGTCGTTTTTGTCACTGGGTGCTTGGCAGCATAAATGGGGCAGTGCTGCATAGCACTCCATGGAAAAATAATAGCCAGTGTGAGGGCAACACTGCCCCTTGGCAAAGGAGATGGAATTCTGAATATGAGAATTGTAGGATTAATCTGGTCAGAAAGGACCATGGCAAGTTCAGTCCTCTCTCTAAACAGGTTCAGTTAAACCAGACTGTCCAGGGCTCAGCCAGCTGAGAGAATCTCCATGGACAGAAACGTTTGCAAACTCCCCTAACCAACACAGGATGTTTATTTTCTGGGAAAACACAGCAGCAGCTCCTGCAGGGATTCATGACTGGGCCTGGTTAAGGCTTCCTTCATCAAGTGAGAGTGAGAAAACCCATTGTTTGGACAAAATTTTAGGGGAGGGCTTAATTCTGCCTTAAATGTAAAGAAAGATTGACACCATCACATTCAATGCTCTAAGAGTAACTTGAACCCATTGCCCCTCATGTTTTCCACGTGACTCCTAAAAAAGGAGTCTCCATTTTTCAGCCACCATTTAAACATTTATACACTGACCACATCCAGCAGGACTCCTTAAGATTGTTGGGTTTCAGCAGATAAACCTGATAAAACTGCCTCTGTATCAGTTAATAATGAGGTAGAAAGTTCACAAAATACAGCTAAAAAAATCAAAGGCTAAGTAACTGTTGATCCAATATTCAGCTCCAGGTCCATCCCCCAAGGAAAAGCTGTATTGTACAGTTATATATAAAACCAACCAAACAAATGCCTTAAAATTAATCTGAATTGTGCTTTGTGCAGATTTGGAGGGAGTTCAAAAGAGAAAGACAAAAATTATCAATAACCTGAAAAGCCCTTTGATGAAGATAAACAATCACTGTTCCCACTGACAGCCTCACACACCCAGAAAAAATACCACAGAGTAGATTTGTTTGTTTGTCTGAACTAGGAGCTTGCATTCATTTTTTTTTCCCTAAATCATGCATTTAGAAACAAATCCATTAAAATAAATTGAGATCTTAGATGGTTTTCCTTCTTTCCTCTCTTTTTCTGTCATTTAAAAAATACGGTTCAAGCACTTTATGAAAAATACCCTTCACCACATTTCCTCAGGACTATAAAATTTCATATATATGGGGTAAACAGAGACAGAGAGATTACATTATTTACCCAACATTGTATATAAAACCAACAAACAAGCTGAGATTACCTTCCCAGAGATTTTCTTCTAAACAGTTCACGGGACAATATTTTACACCAGCCTGGAGGCACCTGAGATGCTGCTGAAGGCAGCATTTTTGGGTACTCTTTGGGTGTCCTGGCCTGAATCCCCTCTTTGTGTACCAAAGCCAGGAGCATTCTTACAATCATCTCAAGTCCAGTATTTCTCCAGCACGAATAAAATCCCCAGAGCAGGAGGAGATGAAGCAGGAGACACAGAGGACTGTGGAGGAGATGTCAAGAGCGCAGGGGATTTTGCTGTGGCCCTGTGCCAGCCGTTGTCAAGCTTGGCTGACTCTGCAGAGCCAACCAAGTGCCCACGTGGTGCTTGTGTGGGGCAGCCCGGCCTCCAGCATCCCAGATAATGGATTAAACTGGTCAGTGAGGGAAGGCCTGCTGCTCTGGCTGTGATTGTTCCTGGAAAAACATGTTTTGAGGCTATGACAAAGTCCAATGTTTAGGAAAAGACCCAATAAAATGAATAGAATTATTAGGGTGGGGAAAGACCTCCAATATCATCAAGTTGAACCTTCAGCCAAATGGCACCATGCCCACTAAACCATATTGTGAAGTGTCACATCTATTGGTTTTTTGAACACTTCCAGGGATGGTGACTCCACCATTTCCCTGGGGAACCTGTTTCAATGCTTAACCACTCTTTCAGTGCAGAACATTTTCCTCATCCTTTCCAACCTTCAAGCTGGTGCAGCCTGAAGCTACTTCCCCTTGTCTTATCTGTTCATGTTATTTCCTTCCTTAATACATTTGATTTCTGTATTCTTAAACAAAGCAAAATGTACAAAGCATGTTCTAAATAATAACATTTGAAACAGGTTTCTGGATTAGAAAGAGAGAAAAAGACAGAAGGTACAAAGCCTGTTGAAAGAAAGGTCAAAGAGATAGGAAGCACAAGGAACAAGTGGCAGTTGAAACAGTTACCATCCGTTCAGGTGAACAGGACCAGTTGGGTTTTTAAATCGCCAGAGGAGGGGTTACTGCCTCTTCAAAACAGAAGGGCAGTCCCTTAGGCACCACCAAAATGCACTTTCTGTCCCTCATCAGCCATGGTCTGGGAGTGAGGCCAAGGTCACAGGAGATGAGCTGATGGTGGGAGCTGGGCAGAGCAATCACACTCAGCTGCCTCACATGGAGCAAACACAAACGGTAAACAAATAGCAAAGCACAAATAGCAAATATTTCACGGCTGATTCCTACTCTGCTAACCTCACAGGTTACCCAGTGCCTACTGGGATTTGCACAGTGCCTTTCCAGTATTCACATACCAGAACTGAGAGGAGTCATTCACTGAGCAGAGCACTGCTCAGGTTTCCAGCCCTCCTCAATTCCAATTGCCTACATGTGGAGCTCTGTCAGCAGCTGTGCTTCTGCTCCTGAGAAGTTTCTTCTCAGCACCTCCTCCTTCCAAAGCCTGGACTTTTGTTTCCCCCTTTTCTCTGCTCCCACCCAGCAATGCAGCTCTGCTCTCCTCTGTGCCTGGGCACTCTCCTGCTGCTGCAGGTCCCTGCACTCCCACATCTGGACACGAGGCTGGCATCTCCCCAAAGCAGCTCTGCCAGCACCTCTGCCAACAACCCCCTGTGGCCTTTTACTTTCTGAAGCATGGGTGAAGAATAAAAGAAAAAGAAAAAGTAAAAAAAAAAGCAATTCAGAACTGCTGTGGGCAAGCAAGTGAGAAAAAGCCAGTGGTGAGAGGCCAAGAGCCGCCCCAGGAGCCGAGGCAGAGGAAGCCTGGGCCGGCGAGAGAGGCTGCGCTGCGGGCGCCCGCCTCGAGAGCCCTGCGCGGTTTCACAGTTTCAGGCCCAGCACCAGCTCTCCTGCACAGGGCAGCAAGCTCAGCTTCAGCCACCTGCCCACACTGCCTGCTGCTCCAGCCCTGGAGGGACACAGGGAGTCCCAGAACCACATCCAGACACAGCCACTGTTCCAAAACATGAGGGAGGGATGCTGTGCCCCAAAGCTGGCAGGGGTCCAGTCCAGCGGGCTGGCCCAATGCAGCCAGTACCAATGGGGACCAGCTGAACTGAATCACTGGAACATGGCCTGGGCCCTTGAAACATGCCAGAACATTTCTTTTTAATGGGATTTTCCTATCCAATGTTTTTAGTGTGCATCTGGATTGGGTTAGACCATGATTCCTGATAATAGTTTGAGAAATACAGACCATAAAAGCTGAATTACTTGTAAATCCAGATCACATCTGTCTACCATAAATTTTTTTCTCTCCCATGGGCCTTATTAAGTCATTCATTTAAGGGTTTTACTTTTAGGGGTTATCAAAATTCAGTAACGCAGCTATAAATGAAGCGTATTATCTTCCTGGAAACCGAGTTTCTCAGTGAAGCCCATGAAAACCAATCTCAGCACAAGAGATTTATTGATGCAACTGTGGTTACATACAAAGGTGTTTAAAGGCAGATCCTGCAGGGCCTTCCCCCAACAGCCCAGAGCTCCTTGCTGGGCAGCTTTTCTCAGACACCACCATCTTCCGCCGGCAGTGATCCCTGTGACTCTGGATGCTGCTGGGTGTGATGGGTCTTGCCTCACTGCTGCTGTCTGAGAGCAAAATTCTGACCCCAAGAGAGCTCCCTGGGCTCAGGGCAGAACGAGGAGAGAGATGAGTACCCTGCACGGTGCTTCACTTCAAGTGTACACAGGCCTGCAGCTGAAAGGACAGCCCAGACTAAATACCTACAAGTTAGCCAGCTAGAATTATTACAGATAATCCTGTTCATAAAGGATGTATCTGTCATGGGGTTTGTTTATATTTGTGTACTTCTATGAGTTTTAGTCATGGATAGAAACAACAAACAAACCTGTGACCCTCCAGGGCTGAAGAAGCAGAGGCCATTCTCCTTCACTTGTAGAAGGCAGAGGCTCCATTAATTTGTCATCAATATTCCATCACATATTTGTGAAACACAGCATGGCCCAAAGTAGAGCTGTGCCCTTGAAGTTCAGCATTAGAGTTCATTGTTGTTGTTGGAGGAAACTGCTGATACGATCAGGATTCAGGTTACAAGACAAAATGTTGGGCAGCCCAAATAATTACATTTCAAAAGGAAAGTATTTAAGGCCATTAGCTTCCAATTTTTTACACTAATGAATGTTAGCCCTGTGGAAAGTCAAGGTAAAGGGCTTTAGGATTCTTGTAAGCCTTTTGTACTCCTTTTAGGATCCCTTTCAGGGAGGCACTAACACAAAGTTCAAAGAATTCGGGTTTTCCTCTGATTTAGTTGGAAGAAATAGAGTCAAAAGAAGGAAAATATTATAATATCACAAAGGGTTAAATATTGGTGTTCCTGCCCATGGCAGGGGGTTTAGAACGAAATGATCCTTTAGGTCCTTTCCAACCCAAATTTTTCTGTGATTCTACAATTTTCTAGCACATCATGGAATAAATACTCTCATAAAAAAGTCCAGGGTACTGTAACAGAAGCAAGCCAAGTAGATCTCCAGCTGCTGTTTGATATGTGGGAAGAAGAAACGTATCTAGCTCTTCAGTCTGAAGGTGGAGAAGATTAACTTTGAATATATAATTAAATAAGGCAGCCTTTCACCCTCCAAATCCTTCCAGACCTCGTCAGAAACAGAAAGGAGGGGAGTGCCTTGCTCATCTCTGGAAGGGGACTCCTTGCTTCATCAAAACAGTCAGTCATTCTCAGAAAAAGCAACTGCTTTCACTTCTCAGTTTAGCAAGGACTTGGCGCAAAGGCCTTTCCTGAAGC